TCTCGCTTCAGGTATTGTAAAACATCATTCTGTACTGTAGATGTGCATTTTCATTTACACTATCATATCACAAACAATGATGTGAAGCAGAAACTTGACTTCATTCTTTCAGATAGTCATTATTTTTGGTGTTCATGGAAAAATAAATGTTTAAAAAAAAAAAGCAAGCAATACAGTAATAATTTTTTTCATGAAGCTCCAAAATTTGATGAGGGCGATGATGTGAATCTAGCAATTGATTTTATTTGGCCTTAAACAAATAAATTACTGTAGATTCTTCCAAGGTGGTATTAGGACATCATTGAAGCTCATAGTCATAAATTCACAGCAGTACTATTTCCTTCAATAGGTACTACAACTGGTAGTGCCAAATACAGTATGCTTCCAGTAACCTGCACCCTTATCTGCTTATAGTACAGTATGAACCTCGACCTATGCAAGGTCTTGCTTATTCTGAATCTATTGTCATATACACACTTTACTACCCTGGATTTTTGCTCGTTTGAATGCAAAAAAATGGCCTGTTGCTAATAATTACCGTTGCACACTTTTCCGAAAGATTAATACTTACAACAATTGCTTCATATAAACGATAGGTACCCAAGCCCTGTACATTGTGACTACTTGGCCTAAAAACCATGCTTCAGACCAAGTTTAGAATGAAAGTGGTTTTGGCGAGGCGTGTAGATTGGTACACGTTGATAAATTCTGTCTGAAAGACAAAGCTGACAAGTTTATAGCAGTGCAGTATTTGGAAAATACTTTTCTGTTTACCACATCATGAACAAGCTGAAGTATAATAACTACCGCCTATTGCAGTTAGTCTCATTACACAGTATGTGAGGAGTACCTTAAAATTGGTTGAACGTTTGAATACTGTATTTCCGTGTGCTTATCAGGGAAATTATCTGGAATGCTTTTGCCGAGTATTTTTTGAACGCACCATGTTTGGCACAATGGCTTTGCACCATTAATGACCATTTGTTGAAGTTTAATATTAGTCAAACGCTTGTGAACTCATTTGGTCGAAAGGTAAAGCTCCTGTTACAGTTAAAGGACTCTGGCTCTAACTTGGCTATCATCAGGTTTTGATTGGATTGTGAATGCTTGGCTCCACAAAATAATCCCCTAATAAGAGTTAGGCCAGATAAGGGACAATGTGTCTATTACATGTGGTACCTGGCACCATACTATGGCCACTGTGGTTCCCCAAGGGCCCAGTATTTCCATTCTAATTTTGGTATAATGACAGAAAAAAAAAAATGCTTTAAAAAACATGAAAAAAAGAAAAGTCTTTGATTGAAGAAGCACTTTTTTGTTCTCCATAAAATATTGGTTTGTAAGGTAATTATTTTGAAATTGACTGGTGAATAAAAAACACACTGCTGTAAGGATAGGTGGGATATTGGCTCTTTGACCAAATTGTGTTGCACTATATAGATGGATTATTGTTAGGCATTTTTACTGGTTTTTTTTTTATATGTATTGATTCTTTTTATTATTTTGGTAAATTCAGAATGAATAACATTGACAAATTTTTCTTTTCTATATTCTCATTCAGTAATATTTACATTGGTATAATGTTGTTACCTTTGTTTAATGTTTAGTTCCATTGTTAATACAACATAAAGTATTCATTTTTTTCAGAATGGCTTATTCTTAACAACAATTGAGGCATTAGAGAATTCTAAAGTGCTTTTTGCGTTGGAGTTGAAATAAAAAGACTGCAGTACTTTGGCCTGATCTTTTTAAGTCGTGGTGACCTAAGGAAATTTAAATCTGTTATTTTATTGTTGACTTTATGATAAAACTTTCTATGGATATACAGTAATAATATAATTGCAGCCCTCCAATTCGAGACCCCTGTAATTCCGAGACCCCTCTAATTCGAGACCAGTTTTTTTTTTCCTAAAGTACAGTACCAACTGACCACCTATCTTTTAATACTGAGCTAACCCACTAATTATCAGACCCCGAGACCACCAGTATGGAAGTACAAGTTACAAAATGACCTCCAATTCAAGACCACATTTTAAAATAGAATCAAACAGATTCAAGTTTTTTTTTAACAATAAATACTCTTTGATTTAAAAAATTGAACTTCAGAATTATAACAGATGTATTTTCATAAATTTATCCATATAAACAAATTTTTTGGTATTTTGCATGGGACAATAGATTTTATCTTTTGGATGTAGATAAACAATGTAGAAAAAATGTTTTGCCCAAGGATGCAGATAAGTACTGGTATACCAGTATCAGATTTGACACCCCGACCTCTCTGTTGGAAACCAAATGCCTTTCCACAGTGCCACCTGCCTCTACTCTACTCTAACTTCAGCACAATATGTCCAAGAACCTTTAGTTATTCAGCACTATAGAAACTTTTTTTTAGTTTATTTTGTATTTTTATAATGCATTAGTTTATAAATAGCTATGTACTGTACATGCTGAAAATATGAAAGTAGAAATAATAAGTATCCAGGTTTTGGACTAGATATGATGCATACGTTGTTATTACTAGTCAAAGATAACTTGGTCAGTCATGAAATGATTGCTTTTCTATTGAATAGAATACTGTTTGTATTTTTCTATGTGTGTTCCATTGTGACATGGTGAAATGATCAAGAAAACAGCATGTATTTTTGTAAAATATTGTCTTTTGTGAAGTTGGCCTTTATACAGTAGGAAACAGGAAGTGAAATGGTTGATTCCACGCTGATATAACGTCGTCATAATTTATTTGCTTTTTCCCACTCTGAAAAAGTTCCCAAGAACAGGTTGCTTTTGTATTGATGTCATTGTCAGTTTATTATTTCATTGGCTATAATTTCATGATTTTTTATTTTTATTGTCACTTCAAGCTACCTCACTAGTAGTCTAAGCATCCAAAAATCCCAACCAACAAAAATTAATAATTTTGTATGGCACCTAATTCTTTCATACTAAACATGATTTAAATATTTTAGATTTATTGTTATTAATTTTATTGTATATTTTGACACATAACAAATAGTAAAAGTTGGCTAATTTAGGGGGTGTAAGACTGTTGAAAACAGATCATTCCCTTATTTGCTAAAATAATAACTAATAAAATAAATTAAATATTTTATCAGTACTGCATGTAGTCAGAATAATGTATTGTAAACACAGAGCAAACTAGTATATTTGGTTTAGGAGGAGGTGGAGATACTATGCTATATTATAAAGATAACAAGAAGGCCTGGTGCCATTAAATATAACAAATTTACCATCTCGCCCCTATGTAGCTGAAGAGGGTGAATATACAGCTTCCTCACCACCAGTCACTCGTTACTTTTATTATTTTCCCCCCATCAAAATGCATTATGGACCCCTTAAGTTTAACTAATTACAAAGTAGAATAACTTAAGAATGTACTCAACACATTGAGCAGAGTCACTTGTTCTATTTTATTATGCTTTGTGACCGTGGTGGTGGTAATGGGGATAAGGAGAGCATGTACTGTATGCTGTTACCATAACAACACTATTTGATCAATGCAAAAGCCAAAAATGTTAGGAAGTTTTGACTTTACATTAAAACCAGTCCTCGAAAAAAGAAAAACTTGAAAAAGAACGACTTGATTGTGAATTGGACTGCTTCCAATAACGTTGATGATTGTGCCAAGTACAGTAGTTTGTGGTTTAGTGGTTTGTTAGGCTTAAATTTTAAATTCCAACTTGTCTATATGCAATTTGCCAGTAACTTGACACGTTACTTATTGGAAGGTTGGGGAACTGGATCGTATTAAAGTAATATAGCCTATTTACAAAGCACAAAATATATACTGTAGCTAAAAAAACATGGGTGATAGGTTATGAATTACTATAATGGTTGTGACTTGCAGTACTATTCGCTTAAATGCTGTCTGATTATAATTTTTTTATAACCATCTTTATCATAAAATACTGTAGGGCGTTTTTCTAGAGAATCTCTATAGAAACTGAAATTCTTGGTGCTCTGCGTTGATAGCCAGAAAGTAACAATTAACTACAATCATTCATCAAATGATGGCAATTTACATATTGAATAACTTCCATATAAATATAAAAGGAATCTAAATAAACATTATTCCAAGTAGATACCAAGAGAGTTATACAACACAACCGTACTTAAGCTGTTAGATAACAGCTTTGGGAATATAACATGCAGTCTTCATTTGATATGACCTCTCTGCGAAGGTTCACACAGAGAGCATTAAGCAACTAACGACCTGTTCCCAATGAAGGAAGGAAAGATGAAATCTGCAGACATTGATAATGATTATACTACCTAAAGTACAGTACCAGTGTACCCTAAGACAATAGTAAATATCAATAATTCAACATTGTGTGGAAAGATGTTTTTTTTTTGTATGATCCCTTTGTTCTCTCCATATAATGTGTTTGCTTATACTTTTACGCTGTTCCCATGTTGGACCTTAGCAACAGTATCCAAGGGGCAGGTCATAGTGGAAAGGTCAATTGAGATCTCTCCTGACTGAAACAAATGAGAGTTTTACGTGTTGAAAAATTTATTTAGGTGTCTTGTCGCAAACAATTCTAACATTTTTTGTCTCAGTAGGGAGGCCCCTTAAACAGTTGTCTAGACTGTTCCCTGTTCTACAGTAACATTCCTTCGTAAATATTGGGATTTTGTTTTTTTCACTTTGATAGATACTACAATGGATGATTAAACAAGTATGTTTTTTTTTTTAGATTTATGTTGAAAAGATTTAAATGTGCATGAAACATGATATCTGTTCAAATCATTCATATTTCATGTTGATTCATCATGATCTTATTATCATTTTCTTACACAGCATTCACTTATGTTGAAGTCAGATAATACTTGCCTAGAGCAAATTACCTACTGTGTTGATATCACAATTCAAGTAAATGTATGGTGTTTTTAGCTTAGCAATAATGTGAGAGTTTATTATTGTTCTTGTCATTAATTCTTGCTTTAGTTTTAAAAGTTAAAGCTGTTTCATTTTTCAGTTGATATTAGTGAAATAAAAGAAGTTCGTCCTGGGAAAAATTCAAGAGACTTTGAAAGGTGGTCAGAAGAGGCACGTAAGATCGATCGCAATTTGTGTTTTGTAATATTTTATGGGTCCGAGTTCAGGCTGAAGAATATTTCACTGGCTGGTAAGTGAGACACTATTTTGTGAATTTATTGGATGTTGATTAGGATTGTAACTAGAAGGCTTTGTTGATTATGTTACCACTACTGTAGTTTAATTTTGGAATTAATTGCTCATAATAGATAAAATTACAAAAATTTGCAATCAATTTAAAGATATTTAATCAAGTTAAGAGATTACAATTAAATTATTTTCATTTATAGTTATTTCTTAGATTAGATGGGAACACTGCTTTTACATTTACACCTGCATTTAAAGACTCTTGTAGGAAACTTGTAGTATTTGAAATAGTTTTGGTGATGCGAAACTGTAAAAACCAACACATTTTATTAGTTTTGATATAGTACTTTTTATAAAGCCTTTCTGGCACTACATGTTAATGGAAATAGCAATTTCCATTTCCATTTCGCTGGCGTGAAATATACTCCCATGAAATTCTGAAACCTATTATATATTGGGGAGCGGTCTTTCTAAGGGTGAATTGGACAAAGACAATCACCTAATCATTATGTTTAGCTTTCTTTAATAAAATGCACATAATTTTTTAAACATCAATTAAAATGAAATTATTTTATATTTGATAATTTTAGCTGCCAATGCTGATGAACGTCACTTCTGGATGACTGGACTTGCCTGGTTGCTAAGTGACACTTTAAAAGCAGGCCACCTACTGTTAATGGAAAGGTGAGTGTTAAGTTAATGCTGCGAAGCAGCCAATTCATATTCTTGATAGCAATTTGACCTCTGAAAGGTCATTGTTTGTCAAAAAACGAGTGCCTAAGACGACTGAAAAGCGGAGTTTCCTTCTTTCGTTCTGCCGGGCTTGTAATCTAGGCGACGTTTGTAGACTAACCTACTCGTACCAACGTCCGCATGTCGCGCTAGCCTTATCCTACTCTAGGCCTAGACTAGCTAGGATGGTATAGGCCTAGCCTTGAAGACGAAGGTCCCAATGAAAACATCGCTCTTTGATAGCTAACATTGTCTATTTAACATCACAATAATTCATTATTATACCTATAGTTGTTTTTTGAATTGAACTCCACAAATCTCATCCAATACCTCGCACAACTGGCTAACGTCTCTATCTATTGCCGTGACGTCATGGCTCGCTGGCTCACACACTTGTGATATGTCTCGCACTTGTGATCAAATAACACGCTGGCTCGCACTTTGGCAACACTCTTTGGCAGTCAAGTCGCCCCTAGAAAACCCGCCCTTGGAAACTTGCCCCATAAAAAAATGCAGTCTTCAAAATAAAAATTGTAACCTTTGGTAATCAACTACATTTTCCACATACATAGAAATTTTTGAAACTTTATTAAAAAAAACCTAAACCATAATTCACCACACTATAGACACTTTTTGACAAAAATGAAAAATTACGACTTTGTTACCCAATGAGAATTGTTCTAATATAGACAATGGGTCGTATCTCATATTATTTGTTGTAGTTTTATTATTCATTATTTTCACTTGACTCGCATAAATAATTTTGTTCGAAGAACATTTATATGCAGTTGTACTTCGCAGCACTTCACTTGCAATTTGCAATTTCTAGTTACTTAGTTTAATTGTCTGGTAACAGTGTAACAAATTTATCTTCATTGCAGGTGAATTAATGGAGATCTATTTTATAAGATAATAATTAAAGAATCACTATCTATTTAATGTTGCCTAATTGCATTACCAATAATAATAATTGTAACAAAAGTGATGTCCACCAAGCTATGTCTACTACTTAGCTCAACATTGTGATTCCAAGTTTCCAGCGAGTGAAGGAAGTATCCAGCAAATCAGCACGGGCTCCTGTACTCCACCACCGTCGGTGGACAAAGGGCAGCCTGAATGGATCGTTTTATCGTGCGCACATTGTTGCATTGTGTTCTCCATAGAATCACATCGGCTGATGACCGTCAGGCCAGTGGGTACCCGTTAAGCAGCAATCTCTCAGAAACTAACATGTATTTGTTTGGTAGACAGCATTGTACGGAAGACTTCCCTACAATTTCTGCTATCTCTATGTGAGGAAAGTAAGAATTATGAATTATGAACTATCAATTATCTAAACAAATTCAGAATGTTTGCATGTTTTTACAAATTATTTTCTCCCTGACCAGAGCTGGCCATTGGTTTTATCACACGTAGCAAAATGCAAGATGTCAAATACTGTTAAAAACCTCAATTAAAACAATCCTGGAAGTAGCTTATCCTTAATTGAGCCAACTGATTCAACAGTAATAAGCAGTACTCTCACCAGACTTAATCAGTTTTTCCATTTTGAAGGCGCATCATTTTCGCACAGGTCAATTTATTTTGATTCACAATTAATAAAATTCAAGAAACCTAAATTCTGAAATATTTACATAAAATTATTTAACATGAACGTAAACTTTTTATTGAAAAGGAGCATAAATGGTACATGAAATTGTTTAATAAAATGTTGGGTATACTGTATCCGAGAAAACCGAAATAAAACATCAAATGCTTCACATGTAAGAATTTGATTTAGGTCAAGCAGCGCTAAGATGCTTTTAAGTTCTGGGAATTTCACAAATCAATCAATGATCATGATAATTTATGGTACATTGACATTTGAATGAGATAAAACTTATAATCACAATATACTGATTTGCAGAATAAATTGCTAAAGCAAGCCAAAGGTAAAGAAAATTAGCTTTATGCTGCTATTTGCTTGCATAAATGGCAGTGGTCAGGTCTTGTTTGTGACTCAAGTCCAGGATATAAAATGCATCTAAATTATTAGCTAGAGTAATGTGCTGCTGTATAATGGGTTGACTAAAATCTAGGCTACAGTAAAGTTGCATGTGTTCCTGGAATCACAGTGATTGTTCAAATTTAATTTAAAAATGAATCATGTAGCAGATTACTGATTAAAAAAAATATCCATAAAGCAATATATGTTTGCTTTGATAGTTTATTAATCTCCTTAAAGTATAAAAACTGTTATTTTTGTGTTGAGGATACTTATGAAGTTAATTATACAAGTGTTGCAAAAAATCAGATAAAGGGTAAAGGTGAAAGGTAGGAGAATAACACATAACTTGCAGTGTCATTGTGCTGAATTGCATATGGGCGAGGTCAGTGACTGCCTAGATGCCTTAAAGAGGCGCTTAAAGGAGCTGCAGGTTCACACCATTTCACAACGACAAGGGCTGAAATGAACCATATCATCGGGCTAACCCCCTACTCTTCCGAAAGATGCAGTGAATTCTTTAAAGTGCACAAGAGCTAAATGTGTACACTAGACCTCCACTTTAAGTCATTATCCGAGAAGATCCAACCCCGAACCCAGGTCGTCGAGGAGCAGCTAGAACCAGCGCCGATATTAAGGCTGTAGTTAGATAATGTCTATACAACATATAAGACCATTTCAACACTACATTACTCTTGAATAAGTGCCGCACTCAAGTCCCAAAATTTGAGGTAATTTGCAATATCTAATTGTAGTACATTTGTAAAAAAGCTATCTACAGTACTTGTGGCAGGGAGGAGGAAATTTAACATTAAATATACAAATTATTAACTTTTTATAATTCTTTACTTTTATTCAATGTTGTTGTTATTACACAACAAAAATCAAGAGAAAAAGAGACAATTGCTTTTTAAAAGTTTGTTAGAGAAAAAAAAAATATATAGATTTCTGTTGCACCAGTCCCAAAAGCTTTCATTTGAATTTCAACAATTTAAATTAATTATGTGGATTGCGTTGATTGCATGTTCAGGTAATGTATTGTTTAATTTAAAATTAAATTTAATTAAAGGCTACTTTCATTTTACTGACTGATCAAAATTGATTAAAGTTCCACTCTTGCATTTGTCAGGTTTAAGTGCCATTTGTTAATTAAAAGCTTTTCAGCTTTTTCGTAGTCTGGTAATTCATGTTTGCTACATGCCTGAATCAAGTTTCAAGTTTTATAATAATTAATTCAATGTAAAAGCCCCTTGGTCAAGTTTTTCAAATCCCCTTAACATTCCTGGACATCTTCATTTATTTTATTTATTTAATTTTTAATTTAATTTTAATTATTTTTTTTTATGTGGAATGATTAGTTTAATTACATTTGCATACTTCATTAAAAATTTATCAAAACGTAGACAGTTATCTTTAACATTAAAATTAAACCTATAAAGAGGATTGAGGATGGATCCCTGTTTGAACAGCAAAGTTCATTGACAGCCATTCAGAGGATGCTAAGTTCTGTCTTCCGTCTACATTTCTGCGAAAGCGAAGTAGTAAATGTCTGCAAGTGCTAAGCTTTACTTGAACATTATGGATTATAAGGAACTTAAATGGCTTATTCTATGGAAAATTTGATCAATGGATATAATTATAGGTTAGCCAAAAAGTAACAGTCATAGCTGATGTTGTTTGCTTTCTCCTACAAATTTGACATTTAACCTTTCAACAATTAGAATACATTCCAAATATACAAAACGGACATTCATGAATAGTCACACGTGCCCCTGGCATTGCTATTTGTATTCGTGAAATAATACAGATGAATAATCTTTTAGTCTGACAATAGAGTCGCCATCGGTTTTTCCTTATATGTACAATAGTCTTTTATATTGTTGAAGAACTCCCTTATAAGTACAATTTATTAAAAGTTGTATACAACATTTATTGTAATTGATTTATTATTGTTATTTTCATTGCAAAAATTACCATTCTGCATTCTTCCTATGTGACTTACAAGAAAAGCGTAATTTTTTTTTTATTCCCAATTTAATTTTTAATATTTTAATAAATAATAATTCTTGTTCTATTTTTTATACCTATTTTTATGATTTCACATATAAGTAATCTTCTGTTTTTTTTATAGTTTTTTTTAATATATTTTTTTATGTAATATATTTTTTTTTGCTTATTTTGAATGTACATGTCCTTGTTTTGTTTTTGAATGTATTTAATTGTTTTGACTGCTATTATTATTGTTTTATGATTGCAATAAAGATGAATTTGAATTTGAAATTGAATTTTCTTTTTTTCTGTAATAATTAACAAGGTATTTCACATGTAGATAGGTATCATTAACTTGCAGTTTGGGATTAAGTACTACCTAGGGTGAAAATGGGGTACGAACCTAACCTGGGAAATACATGGGTCCTGAGTTGGAAAGAAGCCACTTCTGGGCAGTTTAGATTATTGAACTTCCTGTAATACCTATATACTTATTAACTAAATTACTTTAAAATTACAATGTATAAACCTGGTGAACATTGCTTGTTTTTTTATTTTTGTTTCAGTAACTTACTGAAATAGTTTCTTGTAATTTGTTCCCCCTTTTGGTCTTCATGGTTTTATTTTTTTCAACTCTGTAAAGGTGGTTATATATTAAAGTTCTGTAGTTCACCTGCAGAACTTAGTATAGCCTCCTTCCATGCATTTATTAAAAAAAAAAATTTATATTAATATATATATGTATATATATGTATATATATATATATATATTATATATATATATATATAAACTATATTCATATTTATATTTACATTTATATGCATCAATTTTGTTTATGTTGTATGGAAAATAAATACAACTTTGAATAATAACACAGTCGTAAAAACTTGCAAACATCATTAATTTTGTGGAGGTGTGTTACTTTCCGGAAGAGTTTTTTTATTTAACATGAACGTAAACGTTTTATTGAAAAGGAGCATAAATGGTACATGAAATTGTTTAATAAAATGAGGCATGTTGTGGCAAAATGGCTAAGTTGTAGCAAAAGTTGAAATTCAAGTTATTGGTATCTTCAGATACCTGATTATGTGATCTTTAAAATGAGGGGTCAGTCATTGAAATTGGACATTTTAAGCCTAAGTTACTGGAAAGTGAAAGTACAACATTCTTAGAGTCAAGATAAACATGGTTTTGAGTAATTGCTGTCCAAATTTATTAGTGGATACCTTGTTTAGTAGAATTAACTATCAAAATAACGTTAAATAAACAATTTGTTGACCACTTCCAGAACTAATACTTTGGGATGTGATTAATAAGACATTAAACTGGTTTTTTTTTAGCTCCCAAATTTTATAGCTCATTTACTCAATACTGGACTGTGCGACAACTTAACCATTTAGCCACAACATGCCTCAAATGTTGGGTATACTGTATGCGAGAAAACCGAAATAAAACATCAAATGCTTTACACGTAAGAATTTGATTTAGATCAAGCAGCGCTAAGATGCTTTTAAGTTCTGGGAATTTCACAAATCAATCAATGATCATAATAATTTATGGTACATTGACATTTGAATGAGATAAAACTTATAATCACAATATACTGATTTGCAGAATAAATTGCTAAAGCAAGCCAAAGGTAAAGAAAATTAGCTTTATGCTGCACATTTATATGCATCAATTTTGTTTATGTTGTATGGAAAATAAATACAACTTTGAATAATAACACAGTCGTAAAAACTTGCAAACATCATTAATTTTGTGGAGGTGTGTTACTTTCCGGAAGAGTTTTGCTTCCGTGCTTGAATGTGAAAGTCATGTTGATTAAACAGGAGATTTGGGACCCCTGGAGCTTCACCCATCCCAGAGTGAAATACTGTGTAAGTCCATTATAAAGTACATCCTTGAGTGAATTACTTCCTGATGTCGTTCATCCTGGTTAGTACAGCCTGAGCTGAAGTCTGGCACAGGGTTAAGCGTGTCTCGTTATGGTAGTGTGTTTCGAGATGTAAGTGTCGAAGTACGTTCCGCAATACAAGATTATGATCTTATCTAGTGCGCACTCTCATATTATTACGTTGTTGGATCATTTTTATACTGTGAATTTATTTGGCTGTTGGCAATCCGCCAGAATAGTGCTGGGTTTCTTTTTCTTCTTATTTATGTTATATTTTGGATATTAATTGGGAAATGTCAGTAGAACACACATGAAGCTTATGGGATGACAGAAATATGACTGTTATTATATAAAGCAGGTTCTCAAACTATGGGTCATGACCCAAAATTTGGTTTGCTAAATAAATGAAAGGTTTGCGAGATTCTTCAGGATTTAAAAAAAAAAAATAATGCTATCTTAGTAAAGTTTTGCTATCAAAGAGAGAGCATTTTAAGTATCATATGTAAACGTTTTTACTTTAATTTTGTTTACCAGTTAATGGCTCAGTCTGTTTTTTGACGTCCTGGGAAGTGGGCTCACAGGAATTTGCCTGGGCATTTTTTTTTTTGGATCGTCGACTAAAAATGTTTAGAACCGCTGGTATAAAGGCTGCATTGTGGATAAGCAGTTAATATAAGATTGATGGTACACCATTTAAATGGTCGTGAAAGAAACTTATATTATTAATGGTCCTGTGCATTGGTCAGAAATTTGATTTACTGAAGCCTTAGCAATAAGAAGTTACAAGTTTAGTCTAAACAATGGTCTCTGAGCCTCTAGAGCTTGCATTATTCATCTAAGCATAAGGTGCTAACTTGGCCTTTGTTTATCAACAGATCATGTTGTCTCCTACATTATTAACCTTTTTCTGATTTGTCAATTTATCTTTTGTTTTGATTTTTGTTATTCTTTGATGTTATTCATTCTTGAAAATGTTCTAATAAAGAACGAAACGTAGAATCAATTATGGCCTCACATCTGGCATTTCTGGGAGTCGCCATACTCATATTCATATTGTGTATTCCCAACACATAAATTCTTTTTGGAATTATTTATATAATGTACCCTAAATTTATACTAATGTCTGTAGGTTAGGGTACATTTGTACACTGTAGGTTTTGGTTACTACCTAGATAATTTAACATACATCATCGTAATAACATGTTCTATTTTCTTAAAAGGTGGCTCTTCAAAGAATTTTTTGCAATGGGTAAACAACGAAATGAAACGTAAGTACTTCTTAAATTCATTTTTCATATTGTCTGTAGTAAAATCACAAAAAAAACATAAGACTATATCATTAAAAAAACAAAAAAGGCGAATCAACTTATAATGAGACACAAATTAATACAATTAAAGTGTTTGCTAATTAATGTACCTCCATGGTAAACCTCTATTAAGGGGTTACGTTTGATACCCAAAAAGTGTTCTCTCCAATTGGGGAACCCTGAATAGGGGTTGGTTGTGTTAAAAGATATACTTTCCCTCATTTTCTGACTTAAAACACTTATACTGTAGATATAGTAACAGTGTTTGTTATTCATCTGATAATTTTTGCATATGATTATTTTCAGTTGGAAGCTAATAAGTTTTATATTAGCTCATCATATTGTACGTAGTATGTATTCATACTACAATTTATCCATTTTGTATACTACTTATTCCTGTTGATAAATGCTAATACTTTATTGGATATATTCTGTTGCATTTCTTAATGAATTACTTCTGTTTAGTGCTTTCCTTATATCTACTGTAGATTCAATTTGCTGTTGTAAATTACCATTTTATAAAAGGAAAAGAAAATACTGAAAATCCATACATTTGCTTGGAATCACACAACTCTTCATTACTTGCCATCCAATTTCACCCTCCAACTGCAATACTGAATGTTGAAGTGATGATTCTTACTGGGGTAGGGGATAGGGATAAAAGGAGATGGTTTCCAAACTTTCACAATAAAATACTCATTTCAGATTCCAAGAGCTTGGTTGTAGACTCCAATATTTAATCTAATAATTATACTACAGTATACATGAAGAATTGTCAATCCTGTTCTTTATAGTTTGTTTTGTGTGTTAATCTCTCATTAAAGGCATTGCAACAGTGATTCCATATGCACTTTATGAGTATGAAAGACATACTTTCCACATTTTTATGTTGTCAACATGCATCAAGTACCATAAACATATGTGACTGGCTCTGACAAAACCAGCCATTTGTGGAAAAAAAATTAAAATTGAGTTTTTGGGTCACTATTATTAAGCATATAATTATCAGGTATTGCAAAATATTTAATTAATAACCCATCCGGCTGTCTGCTGTTACAGTAATTCACATGGATAACTGTGCAAGTTTGTTGATTTGTTTATACATTCGTAACAACAGTACAGTAGACATTCTCTGTTTTTTAATACTATATTATATAGAAATATTAAATGCAAGAGGTCCGAATGCTGTAATTTTGTATACGTAAAATATGTACTACCACGAGGTAGGAGCGCCCTATTTATGAAAGCCTTTTACATTCTTTTGAAGGACGCCCTGTAGTTTGTGCTTGTGCTTTTTTGGAAATAGAATTGCATTCCAACGAAACCCCGAGAGTCGGACCTCTTGCGTAAATATACGCTTTGCTATAAGGTATTAAACTATACAGTGATTGACTGTCAGTAGTAAGCTTGTCATTGTGTACAAGTTTTGGCATATTCCATTAGCAGGTGATTTCTGTTTAGTAATGAATCGATATAGTAGCTTTTAAGGTTGATTACTATTAGAGTATGGGTCACAGATAGTGTACTGGGTTTTAAGACAGTACATGTCTTTGAGGAATAAGCATGAATCACTCTGATGAGAAAGTACCGTAGTATATAGCTCTTTATGATGTTTCTTTTTTCGAGAATTACTGCATACATGTGTCCCATGTAGCATTTTTTTTTGTCTTGTGAATCCGGTATTAGCAAGCTTCATAATCAGTCTGTCATACCTTTGGCATTTGGTCTTAGTCACTTTAGCATATTGATACTAAATTTCAATGTGTTTATTCCATACTTAGTTAATCTTGTGAGCATTTTGTATGTAATTACTCAAAATGGATAGACTTACTGGGGGTTACTCAAAATACTGGGGAAAAAAGTATAAAATAATGTATGTTTTCATATAGTGTTGTGCACATCCAAGTGTCAGATGGCTTTTCAACATTATTACCCCAGTCATTGGAACGATGCCTATGGGAGAAATTCAAGTTTGCTGCACAAAATAAATCGGCACATTATGAACTCAAACCTCCTGGATGGAGAGAGATAACATGGATAAAGTACTGTACCATACTAAGGACATGGAAGACTTGCACAGTGAGAGTTTGTCCTAATCCCCTGTCTGTTGATTGAGAGTCCGAGCGAACTACTTCCTTATACTGTCAAGTACTGTATTATTTAGACAAGACTTTTTTTATTTCTTGTTTCGTGTACGGTACTTTTTTAAAGGTCATCAGAGGAGTGCGGGAAAAAAAGGAAAATAAAATATCATTTTCTTATTTAGCAAATAGTTTGGCCAAAAACATCCAGACGGAGGAGAAAATAAAAATAACATTTTATTGGTGAATGTAGATATAGGATGGTTAAATGCTTAAAATTTATATAATTATGAAGATATATACATATCTTATCTTTGGAGATTTCAAAGCAGTGGTCGGCGTAATAAAAATAAAGAAAAATTTTTAGTTTTTTCTGAATTTTCCACTTTTTCATTGGCCAAAAATAAAAGTTTATTTTTATTTGAAATAATCAATATTTGCAGTCAGCAGGTTCGCTAAACAAGATATAAAAAAAGTATTGCCTTATTAGACAGTGTTCAGTTGATTTTCAATGCACAATTATTTTTTTTCATTTTCATTTGCACGTTTTGTTTTTTATTTGCAGGAAGTCCAAAACACAACCGAAAAAGTAAGCCTAAAAATGGTTCACCTATGTTCTAAACTCAGTGTGGATCAACACTTATAAATTTGTCATCCAAACACACTGTACATACATCTTACTTTACTGACTCAAAATTCAAGATTTTATATATAAATTGATTCTGATCATTCTCTCATTGAATACATCTCTACATCCACAAGTCATGCTTTAAATGTGCACCATCATTCCACTATAGTTACGGAAGACCATATATGAGGACCATCCTCTTTTATTTGCACGTTTTGTTTTTTATTTGCAGGAAGTCCAAAACACAACTGTAAAAACCTAAAACATAAAACTGTACATATTGTACATCTTCCTTCACTGACTAATTCCAAATTTTAAATATAAATTGATTCTGATGATTCTCAATCATTGAATACATTTCTACCGTCCACTTATGCTTTAACGTGCACCATCCTGCCATTTACAATCATTATATAGTTATGGAAGATCAAATATGAGGACTGTCCTCATACCTTCTGACATATACCCTAGTCTCTGCTTCTTCAACCATCTCTTTTAATTTCAAAAATGCATCTAAAATCTACAGTAAAGATAGTCGTTTTTAATTTATATAGTTAGGAAGAAATATACATATCTTATCTTTGGATATTTCAAAGCAGTGGTTGGCGTAAAAAAGTAAAGAAAAACTTTTAGTTTTTTTCTGAATTTTCCACTTTTTTGTGGCAGTGGGTACGTTAATTGGCCAAAAATAAAATTATTTTCATTCAAAATCATCAATATTTGCAGTCAGCAGGTTCGCTAAACAAGATATAAAAAAAATTGCCTTAAACAGTGTTCAGTTGATTTTCAATGCACAATCTTTTTTTTCCATTTTTATTTGCACGTTTTGTTTTCTATTTGCAGGAAGTCCAATACACAACCGAAAAAGTAAGCTTAAAACTGTCCACTGACGTTCTAAACTCAATGTGGATCAATACTTAAAAATTTGTCATCCACTCACTACTGTACATCTTCCTTCGCAGACTCAAATTCCAAATTTTAAATATAAATTGATTCTGATGATTCTCATTTATTGAATACATTTCTACGTCCACTTATGCTTCAAAGTGCACCATCCTGCCATTTACAATCATGCTTCTAAAATCTACAGTAAAGATAGTATTTGCTGAACCATTGGAAGAGGCTAATCCTTTGGAAAAACAAAAGTACCTAATCAGTCCTAGATTGTTAATCTTTAACCCTGAGGGACATGCGGAAGACATAGTAAAGTGGTGATTGGGCAATACACCGGGAGACAATCTCATTACTTTTTCGAATATGCATTGTACATGCACATGGGCAGTATTTATTAAGTTGAGGTAGATGGGTTTACTATTTCATTATTAGCAACAATGGCTACAGTAGCGGGAGGTCCAGGGAGGCACTGGACCCCCGTCACTTTATTAGAATCTGTTAAGGTATCAGGACACCCTCACAAGGTACCAGGATCTCTGTTGGTGGCGTAGACCATCATTTCATCGGGATACTGCTTTGTAAATATAATGTGCCATTCCTGGCAGCTCAAGATGCATATTCTTGACATTTGCTTGAATTTCGGGCAGAAGTGGGTGTTGACCCCATTTCAAAGTCCTTAGACCTCTTATTGTGGACCGTGGACCTCTTGTTTGGGACCTGGACCTTTTATCAATAAATCTCTGCAGCCCATGAAATTAGGAAAAAATTAGGTCGGCAAAAATTTGCCGACCTTAAATTCTCCGAGGTTGGCAGCCTTGAAAATGTGTTTACTATCTAGGCCTATATATCATCATCATTTATTTAAGTCAGTTTTCTTCCCTCTTCCAAGGGGTTACTGACTGTCACTCGTTCCATGCAGCTACACCATCTTTCCACTTCTTCCTGTCTTGTGCATCATACTCCTCCAAACCATATATATATAGTATAAACTATGATTTTTCCGAACGCTCGACCTTACATTGTCATCTACAGATTGTGATTTTGTTAATTTCTCTAATAAATCAATACATTGCTGGTGAAAGAATGGTCGTACTTGTATTAATTTAATAGTGTAGTATAATACATATGTTTTACATTAGAAAATCGCCGAATAAATTTTGTTTTAGCGTTCGTTTTATCGTTATTTTTGGCATGGGAAATATCACTTTCGTAAGAAACTAGACGATCGTATCATCACAGGCTGCTTCAAAACTGCCTATGCATGTCTATGCGCATGCCCAGAATGATCTATTAGGGATTTTCCATACATGTACAGTACTTGTCAGTAGTGAAGTCGCGATGCGATCGTGATTGCGTTTAAACGGATGGTAGGATTAGGCCGACAATATGTTGAATTTTGTTGTTTTTAAATAATAACCAACATTTTAAATATGATAAATAATACTGTAAAATGAAATGACTACGCGAGAAAGACAAGACTATTGTACACAAATCGTACGTACTGCATGCCTATTAAAAATAGTTACTGTACAAAAGAAATCTGTTTTATGAACCACCAATTTCCTTGGTTTGACGATGTACATGAAATTTAGTGTCTGCTATAACCTGTTTTTGACTTCCCAAGCAGTTTTTGAAGCAAAGAAATCTAGGCCTATGTCGGCAAAAAATTGCTGTCCTGTTGAAATTCTGGCTCGGCAATATGGTCGGCAATTGCCGATTGCCAACGTGAAATTCGTGGGATGTCTCTGGCACCACCACTGATATGCAATGTGATGCACATTACCAACGGCTTGAATGTCTCTTTCAAAAGAACGTGGGCTGTAAAATGTTTTTAGTAGAACAGCTTAATGGAATGAGGGTCACAGAGAAGTCAATAATACCATGGTGCATATTTAATTCTTTATTTGTCCTCATTTTAATTGGAAACCAGAAATTTTGGCTGGCAGTGCAGAACCACCTGACTTAAATACAACATTTAACGGACTGCTACATGTCCTTAACCCACCTACAGTAATTCTCAATATATGGGGGTAATTCAAGGAGCCAAGCGATTAAAAATATATGCTGGCTGTTCTCAACTACAATACTGTATACTGCTTGTCTTCAATGTAGAAATATATCATGGCTATCACTAAAGTGGATTTCCTTAATTCATCATTGGTTGTTTACATGTATGTACAGAGAGAAGGTATCAACAGCATTATGATCTTTATGAATGATAATAATATTTCATAGCAGTAATAAAGTTGCTCTGGTTTTTTTAATCATTATCATAGTCATCATTAATAGCATCATCATCATAACATCATAATTATCATTAATCATAATTTATCATCATATCACATGTACCAGCATACTCATCAAAATATAGTGATCTCATTATCAATGACATCAGACCTTGACATTACTTTCTCTTTGCATTACAATATGATTATGTTATATATCTATACGTAGATTCTAGGCATCTGATTGGTTAAGAAGCGGGCAATAGAAAGAACTATTTCCTTGAAAAAGTACTATTCCCCTGAAAAATAGTACTTTTTTGCCTTTTCGCTTGGTGCAAACTCTAGGCCTCACCATCGCGCTGACGGTAGAGAGGAATGTGACCTCTACAACAAAAGAGATTGGCCCTTGACCGCGCCACGGATCGCACGTAGACGATAAACAATAATTATGGAGGCTGTCAGTTCAAGCTCCTGGATGAAGGACTAGCTTATAGTAGGCCCATACTTCTTGATAAAGCCAATCAAAAACACCAAAAGACAAATTAAGAGTATGTCTTGTCAATATTCGACAAATATTGCAAGACAATGAGTGCTGTTGAATTTGAGGAAATGTGCAAAGAAGAGCTAGACTCACTCTTTGATCACCTAGGCCCTAGTTAGTACGCCTAGGCTACCTAGGCTAGGAAGTAAGTACTTTTTTTAGGCCTCATAGAATCTATGTATGAATTACATATATAAAACAAATATTGACTGCTCTAAATTCGGGGAACGGTGAAATCTATTGTCCCTCGGTGATGTGGAGATCGTAGCCTATATTCCCGGCTCGGGAAGATAGGCTACAATCTCCACATCACCGAGGGGAAATAGATTTCACCATTCCCCACATGAGCAGTCAATATTTGTATATTATATTAACATAACATCTTTTATTGACATGGTGCTATTGGACAACTCCACATCATTGCTTTATTGTCATGAAGAACTTTCTTTTGACCAATTCAGATATTGGATATACTCCTGCTGACCTACCAAATGCAATTGTGAACGGTAGCATGAGTCCAACTATCCTAAGCCAGTGCTTTGTGTCTGTTTTCCATTAGGCAAATTTATTCTCACGAATCAAAAGCGTTGGTTTGCTTCCTGAGCTCCAATTGGTTGCTCATTTTTTCGCTTTGCAAAATGTAGAAACAGTTTGAACTACTGATTTCGCTAAAGCGAAAAACAATTTGCGCAAATATATTTGCGTAGTCGAAAACAGGCTTTACAAATAGGATTGATTGAATTATTATAAATTCAAATAATTTGAATTGTTCACACTATAGGATGATGATGTCATTTTTTAGTTCGTTTTTAAAAAAGTTTATGTAGATTATTATTTAAGGTATGGTTTTTCGTATTTTGTTATGAATCCTATTATAACAGAATGCATCGACAGTAGTGCCCTTGTCATTGAATTTGCATCTGGTTCAAGTGGTTGGTAAGAATCACAGGTGCTGACAGTGCAACTGACTCACACTTAGTCACCTTTGAGGCACTACAGTTTAAAAGTATGTTGGATGAGATACATGAAGCATGTTTCTACTGGTGGGCAGTTAACATGTCATATGGAGTACACTGGGACAGCGTCGCATGACGCAGCCGAACATGATTATCTGACGTGTAAGATCCGCATGCGTTAAATGCAGACACGATGGATCTGCACTGAGGACAGTCACATTGTAGAATATTTAGAATGTTGTCTCATGACGACATAAAAACGCATGTTCCAGATGATAAATTGCGTCGGTCTATGTTGTGCAACGCTGTCTGATTTGGCCTTCAGTATGAAAGTCGTGCCACTAGTAGAAACAAACTAAAGCGATCACAAAAAGGATTGTCAACCCATACATGAGAACCGTCATTCATGTTATGCAATAGCATTGCACTCTATACACAATTGGAAATTATATAGTAAACAAAGTTTAAAAGTTGTGAAATAGTCTTTTTTTTTGTAAAATAATTGAATTTAAGAGAAAAAAAAAACAAAATTAAAACTAAAGGATTCTTGGCAAGATATGAAAAAGTCACAAAAATTATGTAAAAATATAATTGTTACATTTGAATAAAACTCAGAAATAAAATTACTTCAGATTTTTTAAATTTACAAAGGTACACAGATGCAAAACTGAGATGGAGGGGCAAAGCCTTCATATTGAAGTTAGCTCATAATTAAGGAGAAGATGAAGATCCATAAAAAAAAAAAAATTTTTAAAAATCCATAAATAGTATACAAGTCAATTTTAGTGTCACTGCAATTTTGAAATATATATATATATATATATATATATATATACTAATATCTATTTTTAAGTTGAACGTTTTTATGTTACTTCAAAATGAGCAAGTTTATTTACAAAAATATTTTTTTAAATATATTTTGGTATTTTGCAAAAGACAGTACTACAGTATACATCTTTAATATTATTAAGGCCTTTTAAGTGGTGAGAATTTTTTTCATTCTAAAGGAAAACAATTAATTTGTGAAATATACAACATCAAGCAATAGTGAATTTTTTTTTTTTTTTTTAAGTTCTTTACTTCATCATAGATGGAAATCTGATATTATTAGTCTAAAGTCTATCATCAGCTCAACATTAAATTGCATTAACTGTTGCCAATATGAATAATGTTGGCTTTGTTATTGAAGATAATATCAATCTGTACCGTCATGGTAATGATTTTATGATTGAGTTTTAATGTCATTGTCATGGTCGCATACTTTCGTTGACCCTCACAGGTAGTCTAGGTAGTGTAGTCTATATTATTGTTGAACTGATAGTCAAACTTGGACGGCTGTCAACAGTAGATTTATTTGCTAATCCCACTGCAACATTCCTCAATAATTCAAAGTTTATTTTTTCCAATTGTGTTGTCACTCAAAGCAGTTAGCATGCTGCATATTTCTAAGAGATTATCTAATATTTTTCATGAGCATAAAAAGTTTCTATAAATTGTTACAAGCCAGTTAGCCAATCAGAAGAGAGGAGACCTGGGAGTCTGCATACTGTACCTTATTATAATGAAGTCATTCTTAACTCTTCTGAAAGTGATTGTTGTTGTGAGTTCTGTTGAAATTTTAAGTGAGTATTATTTATAGACTGAACCATTTACAGTGATTATTATCCCTCGTCAAATGTCATAGCTTGGGACTTCTTAAGTATCATCTGCTACAAATGCAACTATTGGAATAATAGGACATACAGCAATTATGATGATCTTTTTACAGCAAAAAGGGAAGCCACTATACTGTAGCAATCTCCATGTAAACACTGTTGTGCCGGTCCATTGTTTACAATCAACACCAGTAGTTGGGTAGTCAACACTTTTTTGTTTTATTCAAACAAGATAAAGTATTTCTAAATTTATTTGAAATATATTCCATTTGCTGTGTTAATGTTTGCATAAAATGTCATAGATCACACTGAAAATATATAGTATGTTGGAAACATCCTCATGAGGAGAATGAACCCTTTTATGATATATCTCAACCACTGACTGATTCTCTCCAGAGAATGCTACCATGCATTAAAGATTGCAATTTATTCCTTATTAATTTCAACTGGCTAATACTGTATCTATCCATCAGCCTCTCACCATATCCTTCATTAACATTATAGCAATAGTAATAATGATAGAGGTTCTACGCCTTCTGCAAGTTATGGGAGTCTCTATGAAATCAGAACTTTAACAAATGGTTATGTGAATCAATTTATTGGTTTTAAATAATTAAAAAAAAAAATTTGGTTTAGTATTCAATTTGTTTCATTCTGATTATTGTTTAAAATATTTAAAAAAATTTTTTTATTCATTCCTATGTACTGTAGAAGTGTGATGTCCGTATTCAAGATGATTTAATTAATGCTATTATTATCATGTTGTTTTATCATCTGATAATAATAGCATTAATTAAATATATCATCCTGAATACTAATGCCAATATTCAGGATGATTTAATTAATACTCTTATTGTCATCTGATATAAAGTATTTAATTCAATTTATTCTATTTGATCAAATAGTTAAGAAAGTTAGATAAGTGTTTCAGTATGAATCACACCAAGGATAAACCCAGGAAGTCTGAAGACTTTGTTTTGGGATCCTTCTGGTGGTGAACTGGGCACCGGGAGACAATCCCCTACTCTTTTCCTGAACAGTGTACTGCGTTTTTTAACGTGCACACGGGCCACATTACCAACGGCTTAAACGTCTAATTCGAAAGACGGTACTCTATTGTAACTTGTATTTCAGCCCTCCAGCTAAAACACAAGGAGAGGCAGCGATGGGAATTGAACCAGGGACCTGAAGATCTCCACGGTTCAGCGCACACACACAGATTAGCCGACTGAGCTAAGTTGCCTCTCAATTAAGCCTTATCTATTGAGTTAAAAACCAGGGTCTGTTCATTTGGGGTAAAGCAGGATATTTGTTAAACTGTTTACTCATCAGTGATGTTATCTATTTGGGGGTATTTTGTATTGGGCTGGGCGGAAAATATCAGGAAAGGGAATAAGGACAGAATTGAGAGGGTGCTGGTAGGGCGGGGAAAGTAATTGGTTCGTGTGTGCAGACACTTGGCTCATTCTACCACAAATGGCTTGCAAAGGTGTTTCAGGTAGAATGAGGACGGTGAACGCGCACACTGACCGTTACAAGTACTCGTTCTACCAAGCTGAGATACTAGATTACAATCTTAAATATTTAAGATAATTTTATAGGCATATTTTATTGTACTGGCAGTCATGAGCTCATGTTATTTCCATTCGTCTGACAATAAAGAAATTTGTATCATGTATCTTGTATTTGCTTGCACTTTTACCTTGATTCATGCTTAGCATTAGTAATCCAAGGCTATATATCTTTAAGCCTTTATTTCTTTTCCCTCTGGACATCATTCTTGTTATAGCACTAGTAAGCTTAATAGATATCATTTACAACACCTTTGAATGGAGGATGGTATATTGTAAACAGGCTTTGGTGAAACATTGGAGCCAAGCAGTCGAAACTGACCTTTTTTTACCATAAGATATCGTTATTTAAGCATAGATTAACATTAATGTTTTTAATGCAAGTCTTTTATATACTGTGTAGGGCATCTTGCCAAGGCCTCTTGTGCTCCACATTATTACTCCGGTTATCGGATCAAACACTAAGGAACACATACTTGGTTCCCAGAGGGAGTACCTCATGACGCTGTAGGTATTAATTTGCACATCACCCTGGGACATAAAAAAAGAGTGGTGACCTTCTACTCGAAACCCTGATTTTTACTGTATAAATTGAAAGCTTTCATTTGCTGTACATTTCTCCACTGTCTTCATTATCAATGTTCACCTTTTGTATTGTATCATTGAAATTAAACAAAGTGCAATTTTGTTTATGTTTGCAGAGTTTCACTGAAAGATCTGAAGTCATTCCTTCCAAAAATCAACCTAAAAATGAGCACCAACAAATTGAAAGAGTGTTTTAATGTGAGTACAACATACTGCTGTCAGCATTTGTAAAGATTATTGCGTACGTACAAAAATGAATACGAAACGGTTAAGTAAAGATAGGAATTAAGTAGATAGGAATTAAGTCAATAAACATCATCATTGTGCTAAGTTGAGTTGAGTACAGTAAAACGTCCATTTTACGAACGTTGATTTTATGAATAGTTGATTTTACGAATAGTCGACTTTACGAATGGTCTTTGCCACTGATGACGTCATCATCGACCAGTTGTTACTGTAAAAAAAAGCCTGATTGTGCACATTTTACAAAGTAATAATTTATATTTTTGTTAAAAAAATCAAGTTTGTTGTATTTATTTATTAATAGTTTGATCTTTTCTTCCATTTCTGGTATAATAATCATTATATTAATGTAATAAACCTACCCAGAACAACGAACTACCAACGCAAGTGTTGTCGGATTGAGCGCACATGTTTACGATGACGAATGAAAGTGTTGGGGTCAGCAAATTATTGACATCATTAAACATGATCGTGAAATACATGTCTTAAATAAAACAAAAAGACTAACTCTGTATTCTTGAAAATGATCAAATAGATCGAAACGTTGAATCTCAAAAATTGTCTCTCTCTTTTCGGAGTTACTGTCATTTTGTTTTATTTAAGACTAATTGGTGGATCCTCTGATATTTGGAAATGCATATCAACAACACAATTCGGCGATCTAACAAATAGAAAGAACATGATAAATAGAAAGAACATGATAGAAGGGCCATAAAGCATACAGATGTTTGAATGAAAGTTAAAATAATATTTTGTTAAGTGGGAGAATACCAGCGATTAGCATAATTTGGTTTTTTATGGAAGGTAAATTCAGCTAGGCTCTAGCGTGTTAGGCCACGCACTGTCGGTTCGTGCGTATAGGTGCTCAATGGCAGGGGATAACTAGGCCTAGGTATTAGAAACTGACACTGATCTAGTTTCAATTTACGAACACCCATTGGTACCAAGGGGTATATAAAATGGACGTCTAACTGTATCATAACTACTGTAGAAAAGCTCTCAGTGGTCACATTCTTCCAAAATAACAGGTGCTGAAATGAATCAGAGCAGCGGGGTATTCCCCTAATCTACTAAAAGATGCACTCAGTTATTTAAGTACACTGAATCTCTGGTTTTGAGTACTTATTTTAGAAGATTTAGTTCTATCAACTGAACTATAGGTAAGGAATTTTTTCAGATACACCAAATTGCTTGATGATAAGCAAATTTACATGTTAACAATGTTATGATGCAATTTTGTATATTTTAGTTTTATTTTATATTTACCGTATTTATTCAAATAAAGCTCCGCTTTGAATAAACACCCTTCTTGAATAAACGTCCACCTCTAGAGCTTAATTTGGAATAAATGCCTAACTCGAATAACTGCCCCGGGTATTTTTTTTTTTCCTCAAATCAATGCCACCATCAGTAATTCTTTATGATCATGCAATAACACATTTTGACAGTAATTATAAATAATTAGATAAACGTCTCCACCGATTAAACGCCCTCTAAAAATCCTTTTCAACGATAATAGCCTCGGGGTGTTATTCAAATAAATACGGTATTTATTTTGCTTCCTTTCATTTTGACAAGAATATGTAGACAAATTAAATGTTACTATTTATTTAAATTAGAAGAATGTACAATTTAACAATACATTAAAATCAAAGAAAATATTACAATGTGCCAAAAATATAAACAAAGAATTGGAACAAAATTAAGATTTGGACAGAGCTGTCATGAAAAATACAATAATATTGAACTCTGCTGATGCCTTGAAACTCGAGTTCAATAAATCAACTGCAAGTCGGTCACAAGTGCAAACTCATGAACATTACTAAAGTTGACACTATATTTCATGGAATTTAAGTAGAAGAAGTGGAGTTGTGATCTCCCAAGCATAGATTCAGCGCCGTATACCGTGTGTAGACACATCACATGTCATATGCATTTTTCATATACTCTTTTGTAAGTCAACACCTGCAATTTACAACTACAAGTTTGAATCATTTAAGCAAACAAGTTGTAAAGATAAATAGAAGTAGAATACTACTTTACTAGAACACTCTATAAAAATTTAGTAATATACTAAACATGTTTCAACGTGAAGAACTGTAGTGACTTCTACCTCCAGAAGGAAGTGTAATTCACTTATTTACTGAAATAAAAACATGTACTTGTTTTACTATACCGCCAAAAATATAACCGTAAGTCTGCATTAGTCATTTTGATTTGTGAGGGTAAAATTACGCAATTTGCATACAGTTCATGGAAACAGGGCTGTGGCAGTTCATTTTTGTTTCGCTCATTTTTTCCCGGGCGTACATGTAAATTTGGCATGCACTGGGTAAGAAGATAAACTACCACACCACTTAACAGGTGGAATTCATCCGCGAAATGTTGTTATTACTTAATGTTTATGCGGTACAGTAAATATCTTTCATATAAAGTACACTTATCTATTTCGGATAAAATTTCTGAAGGTTCCTATTCTTCTGGTCAGTAGTGGATACACAACCAATCCCGAACAATGTGTAAACTCCTCCATCTTCTGTGGTGTATTATATTCCTAGTTGTGCAGTAAATACAGCAATAACAAATTTTGTTTCAGATAGTTCAATGTCTACCCATTATATTCTTAGTTGGAGAGACAAACATAGAAAGGTGTCTTGTTCCAAGATGGAAGCATGTACCGGTAGCCTCCTCGATGGATGCTATTGGAACCCAGCATACTGTTACCGAGGTACCTGCGTGTACACGATAGCGATGGTAATACCATCTCAAAATGCCTTTCACATTCGCACTTGGTCATCAATTTTTTTTATTGTACTTTTTTAGTTGTTTAAAAGCGATGTGGGGTTTTTATTGTGGAAGGCGCTGTAAAAATGCATGACCATTTGTCAAGCATTTTAAGTATCATTGATTTCATGCTCATGGTCAAAAAGGTGCTGCATGCTTATCTTAAAAAGTGGAAAGAATAGTTCATAAAGGGAGTATAAATCTCTTAAGTATAAAACAATAGTGCAAATTATGCTTACATCACAATTTAAAAAAATAATTTTTTTCTTTTAATTGATATAGAATGTTGATCACTGGAGGAAAGGTGAGCTTGGCTTTGAGCAGTTTACTGAACTTTATCACAATTTGATTGACCAACCAGAAGTAAGTAAACCTCAGATAATGTCGCTTTGTGCCATATTCTACATTTTTTTTTATATCCATTGTTCTCTATTGTTCACTGGTTATTTGAAGTGCCTATGTTTTTTTAAAAGAGCATGTTCTTGTTATACAGAGTGCTTCAGTGGTACTCTAGTGGAACATCAAGGGCCATAAACTAAAGCGACTAAAGTGATCAGTTTCAGTGGCTGAATCATTAGCGTTCTATAATTTGGTGTTATTTAACAGTACTCATCATATCCAAAGGATTATACCAACTTGGTTTCAGCTCTTGTTGCAGTAAATACGTTTCTCAAAAAATATTTATCATTCATGATAAGATGTTCAACAATTTCTATTGTGTGTTTTCGTAATTCAACTGAATTTTGAAATGCTTTCAATTGTTGTTTGTCCCAATTTAATTTCAGATTTCTGAACGTCTCAATGATTTATATACAGATGGAGGGTATGTAGCAGTGTTACTAATAACTAATTGTGTTCATTTAGACAAGCAATTTTAAGCAGACAGATCCAATAGTACACCTTTTAAACAAGATGGTATATAATAATAATTTCAATTCTGTCCACACTACATGAAAAACCAGATCGGCAGATCTGCGCTTGCAGTTACCATAAAATGTTATAGAAGCCTCTACTGAAAAAGCGCTATACGGAAAATGAAGTTTGTGCTAAATGCAGCTTTTGCATTAGGGAGATCTCTTATCTTGAATTAAAATGTTGCAGTGCATAATTAAGAGTAAAATGTGCCTTAACTTTTGCATCATCAAGAAATTAATAAATGATTTCCCATAATGTTATTAACATCTCAAATAGGCAACACATGTATCGTTTTAACACTCCAGTAATTTGTAATTATCACCGCACATAAGCTTCTGAAAATTGGCTGCACCGTCCAATTGGTCTCTACTGTAGTTTGTACACACATGATTTGGAAGCTAATGTTTCCATGTTTTCAATATAGTTTAAAATAAGTTTAACTTTTGAACAAAAAAAATGTTATATTTAGTTGTTAATTTGTAGCTAGTGTTAAAAGAACTTTTAAAAGTGTTCTACCACTCAGTTCTTGTTGAGCCTTAACAGAAATTGAATGTTGTAATTTGGTTACTTGTTACTTGTTTTGTTAGCCATCCTCTGTCTTGAAGACATCAGGCTGATAATGACTGATATTAGTTGACATATACACTGCCTCTTTCAGAGACAGCAAATTCTGTGCAATAATGCTTTGTTTATATATTTTTGTGGTACATGGCAAATTGTCATTCATAAACATGGTATTCAAATTTCCATTCCTGTAATAGGTTTTATGGTACATTGTGTTCAACCAAATTTGTATTCTTCCATGCTTTTCAACATTAGATGGCACTACAGGAAGTGTAGTGCTATTTAGGATATGAAATTATACAAACATCCCCAAATGAGAAGGTGATACAGTAGCCTTCTAGGGAATGGGACATTAAAATATCAACTAGAGCTGTCCATCCTATAAATGCACTTTACCTATTGAAACACATTGTAAATATGTATATTAACTGAAGGACATCAGTGGACCTATCTGCAAAGCTCCACCTTTCAGATGTTGTTGCTAAGGTGAAGACAGGTGTTTGTGGGGTACATGTGAATTTCTAGCCCTGTTCTGATTAGCCAACTGTTAAGATTGATTGATATACCGAAAGGTCCATTCTATGTGACTTTAAATTATTAATACCCATAGTACCCAAATATATATATAGCGCCAATTCCAACGAATTATCAAAGGCGCCTGGTCACTGGATGGCATACGTTGGCAAACCAGCACAAAGTGCAACCTTCTCTGCTCCTTGGGGAGTATACCTAGTTATAACTACATTCAATTCCACTACATCCTACCAGGTACCCATTTATACTCCTGGATAGAGAGAGATAAATGGAGATAAAAGTGCCTTGCCCAAGGACACAAGCGACTTGCACAGCGAGAGTTTCGAACCCCTGACCTCAAGGTTGGGAGTCCAAGCCACAACTGATGCGCCAACCGCTTCTACATATTAGTCTTAATGGTAATACGCTTGTATAGCACGTCATGCAAAAGAGCCCCTGTGCTTGGTGATATAGCTTTTTTTGCTTCAAATTATAACATCATCTTCTTCTGAATTTAGCTCCAAGTACAAAAAGAAGATTTCAGGCCGACTTGCTTCCACAGATGGAGTCTCAACCAAAACAAACAAGAAGTAAATAATGAACTATGTATAAATCATATGAGAACCAACAAAAAATTTTAATTGGTGAAAGCAAATTTTGATTTTTAAAATTGGTGCCAATGTTTATATGGCCTGTACATTATCCAGTCTTCTTTTAAATGGCTTCTAGTATTTTCCTTATTCTTAGTGTATTTGTTGGGCTGGTTTTATGGTTACTGCTGTCTCTATGATTAGATTTGCTTTTCTCTGTGCTTTTATCCTCTACTTGTTAGATGAGCTCATGCCCTTTTTAAGATATCTGTTTTGGCCTTGCTTCTGTTGCATTCTTTAACAAACCGCTTGTAATGATTGCAGTTCCGCTATGCATTTTTCACTTCCATTTGTTGACTTTGGTAAAGGTGATGGTTTAGGTGCTGTTGTGTCTGTTTCAGGTTCTCTCCATTGGACTTGCACACAACTAATTTAGATTTATTTATATATTAATTTTAGTTAGTGAACAATTCTGTAGTGTGACCAAAATTGTACAGTACACTAATCTTTACACTATATAGAGTACTAGTTATTTCTTCATTGTACGTGATTTGAATATTTAGGTTGTTTAAACAAGTTATGGGTTCTTTCTTTTTGCAGGAAGCGAGTAACTGTTCCAGAGTTTATAAAGTTTCTTGCAATGGAGCAAAAGGTATGTATAGAGACTACTGCATTATGCACTGTATAAATCCATTGATTGATTGATTGATTGATTGATTGATTGATTGATGTCACAGTTGATTATCTTGGATATGCTCTATTTATTAAATATCTTGATACTGTTATTAATGTTACATAATTGTTTGTTTTACTGGTATTATTTAATTGAATTTTAGCTTGACTGTTTGAGTGATTGATTTCTGGTTTTAGGAGAAATACAATACACATAGAATATTGTTATTAATGACAATAATGATGATACTGATAATTTTTTTTGTCCAAAAGAAAATTAATCTGCAGAAAACATTGCACTTCCTAATTGATATAAATAGACAAGAACCACTGTACTTTGAGTTAACACATTGAGTTTGAAGTTGAAATTTGAGATAATTGGTTTATGCCAAGGTAGAAGCGCAGTTTATTCTGGAAGGTGGGAGCTTGCATTTCCTTAGATACAGTTAAAAAAAAACAGTCACCAACCAATCAGTTAATCAGTCGATCATATACCTTATTGCAATTTGAATTAAAAAACTTGAAGTTTATAGACAAATGTAATACAGAAGTTATTTACTAGATAAATCCTAAAATCATCAAATTGGAAGACAAAAGAGATACTGAGTAAAATTAAGTTAAAAAATAAAAAAAGAGAGGGTGAAAAATAATCAAGTTAGCAAACAAGTAACCAAATAATATTTTACTACTACTACTACTACTACTACTACATAATAATAATAATAATAATAATAATAATAATAATAATAATAATAATAATAATAATAATAATAATAATAATAATAATTATTATTATTATTATATTATTTTACCACACATTGTAACTTTAATAAAATAATATTATTTTACCACATATTGTAACTTTAGTAAAATAAAACTATAATATAATATTTTTTGTTGCACATCACATATCATCATTCGCACAACTTAAAAGTTGAATTAGGTTGACATAACAATCAAGAGTTATATAATGATTTTTTCAATGCTAGCGAAAATATTAAACTTAATATATTTTGGGTTGTGCATCCTTATTCCTTAACAGAGAAAGTGAAGTTATTTTTGATAAAAAAAAGGTATGTTAAACGAGCCGGGAAAGTATGTAATTGACTATTAAATACTATTAATTAATTCCCATTTTGCTTTATCTTTGTTTTAAATATTAAATTTTTTCAGTTCTTTTCTGCATTGCTGTATTGTGTTCTTTTTTTGTTTATATCCAGAAATACAAAATTTTTGTTAGGTTATGTCCTGTACTTCTCTAATATGTTGTTGCTAGTTAAGTCACATTTTAAATAATATATTTTCGGTAGGCCTTCATCATGTACGTAATACAGATGTTTATTTATTTTAACTCTGCTAATAACTCATTTTGTATTGTATTTGTATTCTGTTTTGATTTGTTTTTGTGAACGCACCAATTTTTATTGAGTCCCACCATTTTGAAAGTGTATGTTCGAATAAATAAATAAATCATTAACTGCAAGCAAGTCATGATTTTTTTATATTTCTCAGGATGCATTGGCAAATCATCCATCTGATGTACGCAAACACATGTGGTCTTTCCTTGACAGTCCGAGCAGGATGTCGCAAGATCCATACTTTACTATGGGTGAGGTAGGTAACACGTATGTGTGCATCAGGGGTGGTACCAGGATTTCCCCAATAGGGGTCCGATGCCCTCGATGGGGGGACTTCCCGACGAAAACGTAAGTAGGCATGGTAGGGTCAAAATCGATCCAGGGGCCCTATCACCCGTAAACTATTACAATTTACAGGTTTTAAAAGTTTTGATCTTATTTTTGTTAATGTTTGTTCTTTTTCCTTTATAGATCCCTTGGTATTGTTTTCGTGGAGGGGGTTTTGTTGTATTTTTCTTTATCCTAAAATATAATAAAATAAAAATAAAACTGTAATGCATAACACCTTAATTTATATTTAGATGCAGTGCAACTGGTTTAATTCTCAAATCTCTTTTCTTTACGTTTAGTTTCTTGACTACTTATACTCCAACTCTAATAGCATATGGGATGCACGACATGACCAAATCACCGACAACATGGATCAACCTATGTGCCATTACTGGATTGCATCATCTCACAACACGTATGTTTAAGTTTTATTTGATAATTTTTTTTATGTAGGTGGTTGTCGATGTGGGTGTGTCTCTAAGTGCCTTAAACCCATTTCACATAAGAGAAAAAAATGTTTAAGAGAATGCATACTAAATGTTACTCAGATTTCTGAGATATTCCTGCAAGGATTACTGAGTTTTCGCAAGCTTACGAAAACGTTAATGAATATGTTTACGTCATCAATTTTCTAGACTCCCCTTCCCCTACCGTAGCATGTCTGTTACAACGTAGCCAATTCATGCCTTTTGCATGAATCAAGGATCCTATTCTGCTCGTACAGCATATTTCCAAGAATGTTTGAGTCACGAATGACGATCATGATGATGACGTATTTGTATTCGTTATCGTTTTCGTATGATTGCGAAACCTCCCTAATATTGAGGTTATTTGGTGCAATTCATATGCAGACAGTGAAGATATGCACAACTTCACAGTAAAAGAAAAGTGGAGTTATTATGATTGAGTTAGAGTGGAGTTGTATCCCTTAGCGGCTAAGATACTTGCTTTCTAATACCAGGGTCCTGGGTTCAATTTCCGTGACAACAGGACTCTTTCTCACTACTGAAAACATTTCCCTAAGCCTCTATAATAAGGAGCTAAGGAGACATTTTTATAAGCGTTGTCTGTCTTGTAATTGGTGAGTTATTTACTGATGGATGCGAATGAAATAATTTTAAAAAAAAGGGCTCCACCCTGTACATCCATTTAAAATATCTCAGTAGAGAGAGCCAGACTATCAAATTTTACTTGACAAAAACATGTGACATACCTAAATATGGTGATGATGACATCATAACATGACCATATATAGGCACATCATGACTAAATATGGACATGCAACAGTTTTTGTCAAAAAAACTGGCTGCCATTTATCTTTTCGATAATTACACAAGAATGAGATGCATGCTAATCATATACAAATTTAACTTGATGCTTGCTAAAATCACACTAGCATGCATCCTGTGCAATGTTCCAGCCCTATTCTTTTAAAAATTATTTGAATGCACCAGCATTTATTGGTGCATATAGTATAGTATTACTGTCTACTTCAAAACGTTTATTTTGTTTTAATTTTAATCATACATTTTCAGGTCGCTCATCGTAAACTTGGCTATTGGATTTGCTGATCCATATCCCACAAAAACAGAATGTAATTAGTGGGTTTGCCTTAATATATTCCATTAGAAATTTAAATGGCATTATAATATTTTTCTTTATGTAGATATTTAACAGGAGATCAATTCTCAAGTGAGTCTACTTGTGAAGCCTATGTCAGATGTCTAAGGATGGGCTGTAGGTGTTTGGAGTGTAAGTTGATTCCTTTATGTTTTTCATTAAATATTTAATCAGTTTACAGGCTTGCCTTCTTGATTTCGGCATTTGTTATTTAAAAAACGAGTGAAAATAAAGCTTTGATTTGAGATAAAAAATAGTATAAATCGGAATAGTTGAGTCCTTTCCAGTCTGTTCCACTACCATAATAAAGACTGCAGACACTTTCATAAGCAATTATTTACCACCAGGAAGTAGCCTATTCTAGTCAGAAAATAAAATCCCCCAAAAGACGAACAATAAAACACAACCACAATCCATCACATTGTTATAATTGGCAAAAGGTTAGCGAGTCATAGTACACATTACACAGTACATGATAAACATTGCACACTTTGGCAAATATTCAAAAATGATGTTGTATAGGCGGTATGACATAATAAACCCAATTGAGAACTTTGTGAAATTAATTGGTCAAAATTGAATATGAAAAAAATTAAAGCAAAACAACATTAACATCAGTCAGTTGGTTGTAATTTTTCTTGTTAAATAGGCTAATTCATCAAGAATTTAAATTGCTGTAATTTTCAGTGTTCTCTGATATTGGAGCTAACAGTATTTTGTTTGGCTTCTGACACCTTTTTTTTTTGTATGTATATTGTGATAAGCCGCCACATCATTCTTATTATTTAAATTATTATTCATTTGTTAAATACTTCCAACTAGGGCTGAAAATAGTGTAAACTACTTCACAGCCCATCAACAGTGTAAGCTGAGGTATCTATGCATGGCCACTAAAGAATGGTTAGCGCATGGGTTCGAACTCCTGATCTCGAGGCTCAGAACCTCAATGGAAAACGCTGCACCAAACTGCCTTCCCAAGCTATAGGCCAAGGCCAGAGGGTCCATCTACTTCCCTATATGTGTATGAGAAAAACATATGATTAATACGTGTATGTTTTTTAGTGGATTGTTGGGACGGACCTGATGGGCTACCCATTGTATATCATGGTCATACACTCACTACCAAGATACGTTTCCTGGATGTACTTAATGCGATCAAGGAACATGCTTGGATCGTTTCAGAGTAAGTTGTTGGTAATTTATCACTTAAGATACAAAGAAAATTAATAGGCAGCACTCTGAGACTAACTTATATGTTATTATTTAACACAAGCTTTCACTGGCAGTCAATGCCAGCTTGATCAGGTGTGTGAAGTAAAAAATTGAAAACAAAATAGAAAAGAGCTTATGCATACATAATTAGCAATAGTCTTACAATTAACCAATTAGCAGTCGGATACAATACAATAATCAGAGATAACAAGTGTAATCAAGCAACTTACTATTCTACTAATTAGTAGAGCTAGGCAGATAAACTATCTGTGCAGTCATGGAGTTAAATATGAACAATGGAGTCAGAAACAAACTAAATCTTATAGTGGCTGAGAAAGCCTAGATCTATATTGAGGCCACTATTAATGCTATCAAATTTATGAATGAATGTTTGTTCGGCAATTAATCTATCATTTCTGTTTTTAAAGCAATTACTAAGGAGCACAGCTACTTTAAAGTGTGTAATATTATGTCCTGGTGAATTAAAATGAACTGCAATAGGCCTATCTTTGTTGTTGTGATGAATGTCAAATTTATGACCATTCATCCGTTGTCTGACAGTTTGGCAAGTTTCTCTTATGTAAATAGTACCAGGACATTTAGTGCATGTAATGGCATAGATGGCGTTAGATGAAAAACATGAAAACGATCCACTAATGTTGTATGTAACTTGAATAGGCCCTGTAATGGTACTGCTAGTGTTGATATGTAGGCAAAGTCAGCATTTCTGTTGGTTACATGGAATGGTGCCCTTAGTGGTGGGGGTGTGGGGTACTTTGTTAGAAGTAAGCTGTTGTTTGAGGTTGGGTAGTTGTTTGTACGCAAGCATAGGTTTGTTAGGTATGATTATTATCACTTGAGATAATAATATGTTATCACTAATAATAAATTATCACTTAAGATAATAATAAGTTAATCTCCTTTTAGAATGTATGTCATTTTTTTTTCAGACACTATTTTACATGTGCAACAATGGAGTTTATTTTTTAGTGTGTTCCTTATTTTGTGTGCAGTTTAAATGAAATGAGTGTTTGTATTGATCGTAATAACCTATATTTATCTTTTAATAATTGCTATACAAAAAATATACCAATAGTGCAAAATTTAGCAATACAAATGGACTTGTCGTCTTTGTTGTTGATGATAATGAAATAATAAATATTTTTTTTATTAGACAGTTGTAGATAAATACAAAACGAGCTAGACACGCCTCATGTTTCAGATTAACAAACTTTAAACTCCACGCTTTCATTCTCGCTCTGAATTTCTTCAGGTGACTGTTGTATAGACGAGATAAAGTTAATCAATTATTATCAATTAATTATTGTGAAGTTCATAGAGGCCTTTTTGTGATGTGCTATTAAGACATATTTGATATAAAATTTGTTTATCCATACTAATTCTTAATATTATCCATACTAATTCTTAAAAATGCATAATTAGGAATGCTATTTGATTTGAACCTGCCTGCTATCAATTAAACTAGAACACTGAGATTTTAGTTTTATGTGTGGTAAACTTAGATTTGGGAAATGAGATTCCTATTTAGATGTGTATGGAGTTAAAGAAATTCAATTCAAAGAAACAACATATTCAAACTATGAAAAAGAAGTAATTAAATGATTTGTGGTTGATTATTAGCTATCCACTCATCCTGTCTGTTGAGAACCATTGCAGTCTACCACAGCAGAGAAACATGGCGAGTACATTCCAAGAGGTGTTTGGAGGTAAAAAGTTTGAGTTACCTGCCTTCATAATTTACCTGTATCACAAGATGGAGCTTATTAAAATAGACTGACATGTATAACGATTAACAAAAATTCATTTCTATCTAAAAGAAAAATTCACAGGTAAATGATAATTACAAGGATACAAATTATGGAAAACACAACAGTGTTTTTTAATTAATAAAACCCCAAGTATGACTACTACAAGATCTGATTTTAAATTTATAATAGACTGAATTATTTGTGTAAGTACAAAAATGTATGAAATCTTATGAAACTTGTTTGATCATTATTGATTCACAGCCCTAATTGTTATCCCTACATTACATATGATAAACAGATAAGATAAGCTTTATTGTCGTATTCTGAACAAGTGAACTATCAAATTACAATATTGATGCTTGATAAATAAGAAGCAACAAACTTACATGTATAATTCTATATATTTAAAGGTGATCATTTTACTTGTTTTGTAAAGGTATCTTATTGACACAACCCATTGATAGAGATGCCAGTAAACTTCCCTCTCCTAATCAACTAAAAGGTAAAATCATTCTCAAACATAAGAAGATTCCAGACAAAGGCACTGAGACATTTACAGTGCCAGTCAATAATGATGGTAGGTTTTGGAAACTGCATTCTTTTCCAATATTGACTAACTTGATATTTACAGATGTTACTATATATTATAGGGATAGTTTTTAAACTAGTGCCTGTACTATTGAAAAAAAAATGTATGTTCTATTCAAGCTAGGCTTGTGGAATAATATTAAATAATTACCTTAAACTTTACTGCAATTTTTGTACACTGAAAATCAACTAGATAGCTGTGTATGCCAGCTAATTCTTTTTTTGTTCATTGAGAACCAGCGGTTCTTTTCAGAGTAAGTGGTGTTCCAATAACATTTTTTTAATCATTACTTTGTCATGCAAAACCTCATTAATAATATCTCATTAATTCCATTGTCCCATTTCCTTACAGTTGGTGATCTCGATCTTAGTAACTCAATTAAAAATGGCATTTTGCTGCTGCAAGATCCAGGTGATCAGGTATGTCAATAACAGATTTCTGAGAATTATTTCCGCAAAAAAACCAATGTTGTTGCCATTTCACAATAGCATACCTGAGAATATATAAAATTAGAATGTCACAGGAGCATTAGGCTCCAGGGAAGCTATTGTGTTTGCCCGCATTGCTTTTTCATTTCTCATTTAACAGGAAGAATGATACTCTTTTTATAAGGCTTTGGGAGTGGAGCTGTTTGTTTAGTCATTAGATTAAAAAAAGCCCCTGCAGTGACAGGATTTGAACCCAGGACCCTGGGATTGGAAAGCAAGCATCTTAACCACAGCTATAGCTCCACTCGATTGTTGCTGACTTTTTATTGGTGGGCATTTATAGAGTGCATAATAATGATTGATCCTTTATTAATATAAATTTAACTATGCTGAATGCTAGAATATATTATCAGATGACAGATTGATAGTGGTAAATGTGTGGTATGCTAACCGATGGTTAGTTGAGAATGCATTTGATGCAACTGTCATTACTCGTTGAAATGTGCGTGTGTTTGTGTGACACGGAAGCTAAAAAAAGGTGTATGCATTAATAATAATAATTTGCATTTTGTACAGTGGCCTCCCGTGAAACCAGGGGTGGGCATAAAAATCGGTTGGAGGGCCAAACTGAATATTTGATGTAACATGGAGAGCCATACCCAACTTAAATGTTTCCAGTGTGCTTCTAAAAACCTTCATGCACAACTTTTATACTACTTTATGCTCAGTTTTGTGTGTTAACCAACTTCGAGGTGCTTGACAACAGCGAAAGGAAACCATTAAGCTAGACTCACAAAATACTCGAAGCATATTACTGTGTCATTAGTCTCCTCAGGGGTCCCTGGTTGGAAGAATCAACAATCAACATCCGGGAGTTACCTAGTTATGGTTTGCTGTGTATTGTGATACACATTTGTGCCAACTTGCAGGAGACAAATATTTGTATGCTATTAAAAACTGGAAAAAAACATGCCAATATCATGAATTTGTGAGAGATGGGTTATTTTCCGGGACATTTGCTTGCTCGTGGGACTTTTCTGCTGAAAATACATCAAGCTCGACATAAATTGTCAACTGTAAATTTCTTATATTTGAACTAATTTGCCTTGCTACACCATAGTACATTCTAAAAATGTGGTGGTAATAAACAATCAAGGTCCATTTTGTAGCTATTTTGGAATCATGATTTTTCCACAGTATTGTTTATGCATACAATGCTCCTCAATTTCTTTTTTCTTTTTTTGTTAAACAGAGGTGTTCTACAATCTTGTGTTACAAAGAACCTCTAATTTTCTTGATATATAAATGGAATTTTTATATATCACATACATTTATTTAGTAATCCTTTTTTCTTGTAATTTAACAATTGCTCAAAATGTTTTCAGTAATAACATATAAATTCTTATTGTAGGAATGGACACCTCATTATTTTGTTCTAACTGAAACCAAGTTGTTCTATTCTGAAGAACATGAATCTCAAGCCCCGCAAGACGATGAAGATGATACTAGCAGTACATTGGAGGTGCGTACACTCATTCACCTGACTCATTCATCACATGTTCAATGTTTAGAGCCCATTTCTTTAGTACAGAATTGAACCAATTACACATTAATTGCAACACAGCAGCAATTTTCTTGAAAAATGTGAATTTGCAAATTTTTTTGCTCATGTAGTGGAAAATAGTGATATGCTCATGCAATCTTTTTTCTGCTAAACATTTTTGAACCGCACGGATAAATTGGCCAAGTGGAAACCGCCTTGAAATGGTCGTAAATGAACTGAAGTGGTAACACAAAAGAGGAAATTACAGTAATCAATTCTGGAAGATGTGAATTCATGAACTAGACATTCAGTTGCTGAGGGTGTAATAGAAGGACAAATAGATTAGATTCTTCGAAGATGAAAATATCCAGATTCACGTACAGCTGAAATGTGCCTTTGGAAATTGAACACATCGTTACACTCTAACGGAACTATTGAAGGGTAATACCCACAATTTAATAAACACAATTTAATTGTAGAGATGATCTTTTTTGTGTTTGTAGACACTTTCCGTTGATGAGCTGCACTTTTCAGAACCGTGGTTTCATGGAAAATTAGACAAGATTGAAGGAATGCCACCAAGAGCAGTTGCAGACAAACTTCTGACTGAATACCAAAAAGGAGATGGAACATTTCTTGTACGGGAGAGTGACACCTTTAAGGGAGATTACTCACTATCATTTTGGTATGTAATAACAAACCACCATTTTATTGAAATGTGTTAGAACTACATAATATGTATTTTAATTTAAAGATTAATACATATTATTTTAGACCAAGTTTTAAAGTTTATTTCGTGAATACTTACCTGGATAACCGACTAATTGCCATTGTTCCCAAAACGGAACACCCCTTCGAAAAAATGGAACAGTCCGACCCAAGGCGGCACGTGTGAACCGTCTCCCTAGCAAACATCCTCATTCCCTTTTCGACGTTGTTCGAAGTCGGATCGTCTAGCCTTCGGAAAACTAGCAGGACTTTTCAAGCAATTTTGTTCTCCTTGGATTTATTTTCGCCTTGGATTTATTTTCAACTAGTGGTTGACAAGATATCCTTTTATTTTTATTGTAATATAGTATTTTAGACCAATTTTTAAAATTTAATAAGAGAAATATATAAATATGATAAATTTTAAAATCACCTGAAAATGCAATCAATAATGACTTTAAAACGAACTATTTTTTAAAGAGAATGTATTAAATTTAATTGTTTGGAAAAACAAGTAATTGAATAATTGATATTTTTGATTTAATATTTAAAATGTTGGAGAATGAGTGCATTTAAGTAGATGAGTCATTGTGGTGCGCCAATTTACAACTTGGGAAATTTTAACCAATTACATATTATTTGATAATAAGAATATATAAATATCAGTAAGAAATTGCCTATTTCACATTTTTATCTGCTTGGCTTTGTTGCAAAATGCCTTTATAATTTATTCTCAATTCCTCTACAAGATTTTATCCAACTTAATACCAGACATACTGATCATCTTAAATTTATACACACTTGCTCGCGTAATAATAGAGTTTTAAATTTCACATTTTTAATAACTTTCCGAGAGTTTGTTATAAACTTCTTAATGATGTTCGAGATGAACTTGTTTTTGGAATTGAATCTTTTTTTCAGAATTTTAAAACTATTTTATGCTAAGCAATAATTCTTTTTTCTTACTTCGTCTCAAATTTTACCCTTGTAAATTGAACTTTTTAACATTTGTGGTTTTTTTTGCTGCAATTCTTCTTTTTCAAATTTTATTGTATTTTGACCGATTTCACTGATGAATTTTATACATATATATTTTTAAATTTAAATGTTATTGATTAGCCTATTTTACTTGAATATTTTATGCTAATTTAATTTTTGTTCTCACTGGCATCAGAGAGCCACTAGACAGTGATTGAGTTCACTCTTTGGCAGTCGTGTCCGGCCAACTGAGGGTTGTTTTCTGTGCTCTCTGTTATCTTGTGTTTGTCAATTTTTAATGTTTTTTGGACGAAATAAATGAAATGTCATTATTTCAAAATGTTTATTATATACTGATATAAACATTTCCATTATAAGTAACAAAGTTTATTTGTTGAATTCAAGCTTGTGCGGTCATATTTGATGTATTTTATTTTTTTCATTTTTCAACAAGGGCGCTAAACAAACCAAACCATTGCAGAATCAAGTCCAAACTGGAGAGGGGTCAATCCAAGTATTACCTGATTGAAAATCTATTATTTGATAGTCTATTTAGTCTCATAAACTACTACCGACAATTGCCATTACGTAGTCGGGATCTGGAATTGATATTAACAGAATCGGTCCCTCAACCCCCGAGCCACGAAAACAAAGAGTAAGTCAGTAGCATGGGTACGATGTTGCACGGCGGCAGGTTGTCTTTAGTGTGGTTTTGTTGCATCATGTGCCGTCAAGATTAACCCCTCTTATATGTCATTTTGCTTTGCATGTGTTGTATTTCATCCATTCTTCTGTCTTTAGGTATAGGTCAAAGGTTAACCATGTACGCATCAGGAAGACTGTCAACGAACTATCAACAAAATATGTTGTAACTGAGTCTGCGATGTTTTCAAACCTTTATGAGCTTGTAAACTTTTATCGAAAACAAAATTTGAGGGCCCGTAATGGTATGCAGATATTACTAACTGATACGGTTCCACAACTTAAAAGCCATGAACACGAAGTGTAAGTTCAGCTAAGTTGACATGAACAAGTGTACCTTTTGAAATCCAGCTTTAGTGCAAACTTCAGCTAGAAATTAAATTAAAAATAAATTACTTAAATTGATTATTGTCGTTAATCAAATGCATGTAAATGCACATTTCAATTGGATGAATTATATGTTCAATTGCAACTAAATCAATATTTTTTAACATTTAGTTTTTAAAATAATGAATCCCAAAATTCCTTTTGAAAAACATAAAAATTAAATACTCTATTGCAAATGCTCACCAAATTTTAATTAAAGAAAACTTTGAAAAAAATTTTTTTCTAAGAATAATGATCCTGTTTGATAATTTGCAAGTTTCTGTTGCTCATTACAGGAGACTGGTCAATTCATAAAAATATTGGCTTTGATTATAAAATGCCAGGTTGACCAATTGCAGTATTAGATATAGTCTTGCAAAGATATTGGCAATGAAGCACTGTAAAAGCAGTCCCAATAGGCCATCAGAGGTTTTCAAACAGCTTTAAAATTTTGAGATTGCCTGCCAATTGCCACGTGAATAGTATTTCAGCACATACCAATTTCAAAAATCAATCACACCCTACAAGGTACCCATTAATAATTTTTTGATTAAATATATTTTTTTTTTGATGAGCTAAATAGTAATTGAAATCAATATGCAAATAATAACATAATAATAATATATTTTGATTTTGAAAACTCAGCATAAACATGCCTAATTTAAAGGGTTTTTTTCTGTGAAAATGTATAACAATATAATATGATCTTATAAATTTAACAAAGCAATAAGTTTGCCTATAAGATTTAAGTGAATGATAATATAACTATTTGAGGAAAGCGTATGTCCATTAGGATGTTAACCCAAGGCGTTCCAATTACCGTTCAGATACTTTACTGAGCTATGAGAGAAAGTGTTATACACCCCTTGCATTTCCTAATTAGGACATGTTCTCTTTCAAGGTATTGTACAATACGCTATGAGTAACAGTAAATGACATGATAGTAACCTTGTTTTGGAGATACACCTCAACTGGTGATAATTAAAGATGATAATAAATATTTGAGAACAATGTATGTCCCATCTGGATTCCAACCCAAGACCTTCCTGTTACCGTTCGGGTACTCTACCAGCTGAGCTATGAGGCCAAATGGCCAATTAATTTAGCGTCATCTTAAAAGCATTCATTTTGAAAGGCTGCAAATCATGTTTGACATTTGACCATTGCTTATTGTCGCATTCATTCAAAAATGTAGGTGTAAAATATACACATTTGAAAAGGCTACTTTTTCAGATATTTTATGATACTAAAAAAAAAAAGCTTAAATAAAGCTTAAAAAAAATTGAGGCCTGAAAATTATTCAGTATGTATTTTTTAAATTTCATTTGCCAGAATCTTTTCCATAGTATAGTTCATCAAAAATTTTTGCACATTTTCTTTCTTGTATAACTTATTCATGAATTGTATTTTATAGCATGTATTTAAGTTCAGGAATATGATTACTTGTTCCTTACAAGTAAGGTACAGTAAACTGGTTAGCTTTCTGTTTCCTTAACAATCATAACATTGTATCCTAATTATTGTATTTTATGTTTCTGTCTTTACCAATATCACAGCGATTTTGGCCCTTCATGAATTTGGCCTCCTCACCCTAAATCACTAGTTAATTTGGCTGACCAGGCCTTATCTTATGGATTTTACCCCTATAGGTAATTTGGCCTAGAGGAGTCAAATTCACTAGAGATGTTACGTACATGGGGAAATGAGCTGGGGGAGGGGGGTTAGGATTTGAATTCACTGAGGGCTGAAATCCGGTAACCTTGCAAATGTCCAACTTAACAGCAATAGTGCATGCACTCACATTTTGTTTATGTTTCTATTTATTATATTAATAGCACATTTGTGTCATTATTTATAATCATTATTATATATATTTTTTTACTAATTACTTTGGCTGACAGAATTTTATTGAATGGGTATTTTTTGGTGTAGACCAAAGTTTTGTATGGATGATTGGTTTGTATGGTTGTTTACATATAGGTCACACTTTAGATTTGATCATGGGTACTACGTCTACCCATTGGTAGTGCCACAGTCCATATTATGAAGGTTACAAATATATATTTATTCCTGCTAAAATATTAACACCCTGATGTGTCCACCCAGGAATTGTCTATGATGTGTTTCCATAGGCTAATTTCTAACTGTATGTGTGGCTAGTGTGAACATATGAAACTCTTACTTCACGTTAACATGTTGGGTTTTGTAGCATATGCAGCAGAGCTATTTGTAAAGTATTAATAGCAGGCCTACCTCCTGGTAACTTGTAGCAGACCTGCCTCTAATTGGTAGCATAGCATGCCTACCTCCAGTTGGTAGTATGAAGCAAAACTGGTAGCATGTAGCATATGAAACATGCCTACCTCTAATTGGTAATGTACTGTATATAGCGTGTCTACCTCTAATTGGTAGCATATATAGCGTGTCTTCCTTTTAATTGGTAGTATGAAGCAAACCTACCTGTAATTGGTAGCGTGTAGCATATGTAACATGCCTACCTCTGATTGGTAGGATGCAGCATGCTTCTAATTCGTAGCATGAAGGAAACCTGCCTCTAATTGGTAGCATACTGTAGGCCTAAACTTCAGTATGGAATTAAAACATCTTCAACATTGGAATATATGCATCAGTTCTATTGATTGCCATAATTCAATGTTCATTAATGTGGACATTGATGGCAATGCTAATAAATATTGTTTTTTCTTTCCTTTTCAAGTTGGTTCCACAATAACTTATCAAGACATGGGGCAGAAGATATGTTAAAGCGTATACAAAAAGACGGTGCTTTCTTAGTACGCAAGCGAAGTGATAATGATTCCTATGCCATTTCCTTCAGGTAACATTCATTTTGATATACAGTCAACTCTCCCAATACCGACCACCCAGAAAACTGGATTTCACGCAAAACCGGTCGTTTTTTAAAGTCCCAAAATCATTCCTATTCTTACAGTATTAAAATACTTTCTGAAAACCGGATCTCCCAATTCCGAATTCCGGCCAAATTCTTAAGTCCGGAACAATAAAATTACCTTCTGAAAACCGGACGCCCAGTTTAAAACGATGATTTATTGACGAAATATGTTAAATAAATCATCGGAGACACATCGACTGACTCCAAATAACAACTATCAATCACAGAACAACATTTCATTTGTTTAATAAACTGATAAAAAAAAGTTCATGAGTGTGTTTTCTTTATTAAGGAACGTATCCTTTTCTCACATTTTGCATTCATTCTCACGCTAAGGCAAACCAAGCGGTCCCAACATAAGGCTATCGATTTCATAAAAACAATTGTGCATGACACTTTGACTGTCACCTCTGACTGTTTTCTATTGGCTGACGCAGTTTAGGGGCTGTCTCTTATACACATCTAGATGTGTATAAGAGACAGGAGCTATGAGAGAAAGTGTTATACACCCCTTGCATTTCCTAATTAGGACATGTTCTCTTTCAAGGTATTGTACAATACGCTATGAGTAACAGTAAATGACATGATAGTAACCTTGTTTTGGAGATACACCTCAACTGGTGATAATTAAAGATGATAATAAATATTTGAGAACAATGTATGTCCCATCTGGATTCCAACCCAAGACCTTCCTGTTACCGTTCGGGTACTCTACCAGCTGAGCTATGAGGCCAAATGGCCAATTAATTTAGCGTCATCTTAAAAGCATTCATTTTGAAAGGCTGCAAATCATGTTTGACATTTGACCATTGCTTATTGTCGCATTCATTCAAAAATGTAGGTGTAAAATATACACATTTGAAAAGGCTACTTTTTCAGATATTTTATACGATACACAAGTTGACTTGTGTAAATTTTTATTGATAATTGACAACATAAATAATGTAAAAATAAAGTAAAACATGAATGACGTTCTCAGGTCAGTAGGCCTACACAGTACATGATGCAGTGTGGTGTACCTGTCTGCTCTACCTTGCTAGGCCTAGGCTTATTATCGACTCAAGGTTGGGGAACCAAGGTAGGTAAACATGACGTTCTCTAAACCGGTCCGTCCGGAAAACCGGTCAAAGTGTACGGTCCGAAGGGTGGTCGGTATTGGGAGAGTTGACTGTATTTTATTTCAATTATTTGAACTACACAAATTGTATAGTTACTGTATGTAAATTCTGTATATTTCTACAGTCCTTTTAAGTATGGCAGTATATTGCAGTTGATTGAAAATAGTCTTTTCAAAAATTACGTAAAAAGCATTTTATGAATATTACTTTAAAAAAATAAAACTTATTTGTATTTCAGAGCTGAGGGTAAGATTAAACATTGTCGCATCAAGGCTGAGGGAAGGCTGTTTGTTATTGGTACTGCCCAGTTTGAAAGTCTCTCGGAACTTGTCTCTTACTATGAGAAGTACCCCCTCTATAGGAAGATGAAACTAAAATGCCCAGTAAATGAAGCTGTAGTAGAACGACATGGACAGGTACAGTATTGCTTATACTAAATTATCAGTTGCCGCTATAATTTTGTATATGCAATATCCTATTGTGACCTTTTCTTTCTTCATTCAATTTCTCTGCCTTAAAATACAGAAACAAAATAGAAATTTATTGACATGTCAGGCAGAGTGAAACAAGCAAAATCCGGTACAAATACAAAATACACTATCAGTATAACACAACATATAATAAATATATGTTTTAGAGACATTTTAATTGGATTTCTTCAGTGTGATGCACATCAATTATAACCCACGAAACTCCTAAGACTTATTTCCAGTGGGTCAATTCTGGTGGTGAATTGAGAGGTACATCGGGAAACACTTTTCAAAAGAGTGCACTACGTTCTTTAACAAGCACATGAGCCATTTTGTACACAGGACCACCAACTCATCTGGTGTGCTCTTGAAACTAACATTTCAGCCCTCTTGCTGAAAAATGGGAATTCAACTGGGACCAAGAGATCTCCCGGTTCAGCGCACACACAGTTTAGCGAACTGATCTAGCTGCTCTCACATTTAAATATGATTGACCTTAATGGGATTCATTCATTCATCCACAATGTAATATAATAGGTTCTTAAGTTGGCTCAAAAGTTGTACAGCTTACATATCAGTTTTGTCATTACCATGTATCGAGTGCTATTTTTTGATAGTTATGCAACTGACTTTTTTTTTTGTAGGATGTGGTTGGTGATGATCATATATATGGCACTTCAGATCTGTATATTTCACCAAATTACATTGTACCAAAGGTAAATGTGCAATATCTTGCACAAAAGAAACAAACGTTGTGACATACCCAACAACATCAAACCTGTAAAGCTGGTCATATATTATGTTGTACGACAGTGGTACAGTATGTCCGTCGAAGGAGATAATCAGACTAAAGGGTCTTGGAAAAAAAATAATGTTATAGATGTTTCTGGAAATGCATTTTCTTTCTTTCTTCTGAAATTTGAATTAGCAGTACTCTAGGAATGTTTTACTGCAATTTCCTTGATTATTACATAGAAATAAAACAGAAACTCTCAGTTCCATATGGGGATCTTCAGATACACCTGAATCCCCTCCTCTTCTGCTTATGGGCTTGAAAATGTGAACAAGCACAATGTGAACAAGCAGGAGAGTGTCTGTCTGTCTTTGAGACATCCAAGTGTCAAGTTATGTGATGATATCTATACATATTAAATTGCTGTTTTCTTGACATAATATATATGATGTGTTTTTTTATCAATCAATTGTAATTATTCTTCAGATACTAGTATTTTCTTTTTAAAAAATGGGCCTTTTTTTTTTACAATTTAATGTGAATTTTACTATTTTCCAGGTGGTTGTAAAAGCTTTGTATGATTACCGGGCTCAAAGACAAGATGAATTAACATTCTGCAAGCATGCAATCATCACAAATGTAGATAAACAAGACCATGGATGGTAAGTTGGTACCACAGACAGGTTGGAAGTTGATTTAATGCTGAATGTTGGTGAAGATACTGATAATTGAAATGGGTATGCTTGTGGTTGTTGACAATGTTCGTAATGATAATGGTAATGATTGTGAAAGTGGTTTTATTTTTTATTTTTTAGTGTACTGCGCTTGTGTTAAAAATGCCTGTGTAAAATGGTTCACTTAAGTTCATATTATTTGACACCAAATACTGTTTGTTGACAGATAACCAATGACTGATATTGTTGGTCGGAAAAGAGTAATTTTGACCTAGTTTCTGCAGACTGCAGTCAAAGAGTATAATTTTATATTCTTTGCTGCAGTATACTCACCACTGTCCTATCAGCAACCTATTTTTTTTTTATTGTTCCTTTAGGCACATGGCCAAGGATTAGCCTACCAATAGCAACTTAATCACTGTACATTAGATAGGGGGCAATCCTTTCACATGACAAGCATATATACTTGATGCTCTGCATAACCTAAGTCCTGTAAAGAGGTTTATTGAGTACAGTCCAGTTTATTGAGTACACTCCGATAGGATTTGAACCCAGGACCCTGTGATTTGAAAGCAAGCATTTTAGCCATCAAGATATTCAACTCTAGTCAAGTCTTAATAGTAGTTTATGTTTATGTTCTTAATTTCTTCAATAAAGAATCAGAATAAGAATTAAATTTGGATTACTATGGTTTTTTTTTAAATCTATATGAAAGAAAATCACATTGATGATAATGCTGTTATATATATGTGGCAAAGACAAGCCAAACCAGTCACTAGTCGCAAATTGTGTTTCAGAGAAAATGGCCAAAACATGCTGGAATGTCAAATTTCTTAAAATCTATTTTATTGCACTAAACTAACCTTTATATATCTACACACCATCCTATGCTGTTATTTCCCCCATTTTCAATGTTAAAACAACACTTTTTAAGGATTTAAAGATAATTTCTGCATGAGAATTGCTTGAAATCATAAACTTTGAAGGCCGATTTCTCATATAATGTTCTTTAAATAGCTGTGTGGTTAAACGCTTGTGACTTCATAAGGAAATATCCGATTTGAATGATTTTTTTACCATTTTATAGCTCTCTAACACTTTATTAATTTTTTTGCGATGAGTGACTGGTTTGGCTTGTCTTTGTCACATATAATAAAGATGTCAATGGTGATTATGATCTGTAGAAAAATGATGTAATTCTATGATTTTATTTAGTCATCATCAGGAATAAAGACATAGTCTTTTATTATCATGATATTCTTATTCCTGATGATGACTAAATATAGTCGAAACGTTGAGTACTATGGCCTCACTTCCTCTATTCGGAGTCACCTTTGTTCTATGATTTTAATGATGTGATTATATCATGATTTTAATTTTTTTTTAGGTGGAAAGGGGATTATGGGGGTAAGAAGAATATGTGGTTTCCATCAAACTATGTGGAAGAAGTTCCCCCAGCTTTAAATGACAGTGGTCCTGAATCAGGGTTGCTAGGTGATCTACAAAAAGGCTCAATTGATGTCAGACACTGTTCCTGTGGTAAATACATACTTTTCAAACCTAGAAGTCACTTCCTGGCATTGTTTTGGGGTGTCAATAATATAAAAATAAACATAACTAGACTTTCGTAAAAACAGAATATTAATATGAAAAATGATGTTGAAATGAAAAAATTAAAAATCACTAAAAAATAAACATGAAAACCAACTTGTCGTAATAGTGAGACTCTAACTATGGCTGCATTGGTAATAGTGAGAGTAGTGTTGAGAGTTCTTGCCATTATGCTAATGAACCCGACCTTACGGAGGTCATTATTTCGTCATCATCAGGAATAAAGACATAGTGTTTTATTATCATGATGTTCTTATTCCTGATGATGACTAAATATAGTCGAAACGTTGAGTACTATGGCCTCACTTCCTCTATTCGGAGTCACCTTTGTTCTATGATTTTAATGATGTGATTATATCATGATTTTAATTTTTTTAGGTGGAAAGGGGATTATGGGGGTAAGAAGAATATGTGGTTTCCATCAAACTATGTGGAAGAAGTTCCCCCAGCTTTAAATGACAGTGGTCCTGAATCAGGGTTGCTAGGTGATCTACAAAAAGGCTCAATTGATGTCAGACACTGTTCCTGTGGTAAATACATACTTTTCAAACCTAGAAGTCACTTCCTGGCATTGTTTTGGGGTGTCAATAATATAAAAATAAACATAACTAGACTTTCGTAAAAACAGAATATTAATATGAAAAATGATGTTGAAATGAAAAAATTAAAAATCACTAAAAAATAAACATGAAAACCAACTTGTCGTAATAGTGAGACTCTAACTATGGCTGCATTGGTAATAGTGAGAGTAGTGTTGAGAGTTCTTGCCATTATGCTAATGAACCCGACCTTACGGAGGTCAGTGCATTTTTAGTTTGTCTTTGAGAAATTTAATGGCGAAAATTATATATGCATTACACCGTAATTTTATGTTTAACATAATTGCAGCTAGTTTGAGATGCTTTAGAAAACGCAAATTGCATTAACATACAAGTTTGATAACCCATTTATTGATATTCACCGTATGTAGAACGATATATGTTGATTGTTTGGATGCTTTGAAGAATCTTTGAGGAAGCTCCAAGCATGGAAAGTGACTTAAGTGACAAACAGAAAAACCCTGTTCAAAAACATAGGAAAATGGTATAGTCTAGAAAAAGGGGAAAAAAAAAAAAAAAAAAATTTTTTTTCTTAAGCAGGAAAATCCTATAATAATAGTTATACTGCTATTTATATCATATAGTATCTACATTGAGACAAGATCCCCTGAATTTTACCGGCACAGCGTTCACATATTAAAATCTTACTACTATTGTTATCTTCTCAAGCGGAAAAATCCAATAATAATATTTATACTGCTATATAATATAGTATCTACATATATCCTCTTACAGTCTTACTATTATTGTTATATATTAATGCTTGAGGTACACCACGTAGATAGAAACTGTTATTGGTTGAGAATGTCTAAACATTTTGATTGAGTTGCTTCAATCGTCTTCGGGAGAATAATATCTGTAGAAAATTCCAAAAAGGGAAATACTTATAATATGCTTGGGTAGTGAGACTTGTAGAAAACTAAACAATAACTGAGACTATGCGTGAAAAGGCTAATACAAAAGCCAGTATTCACAGACAGTCTATTATTATTACCTTTGTTTTTATTCATGAATTGTAAAGGAACTAAAGATTTTAGTATAGCATTTATTATATTTTTGATTTTTACTTAATATGGTTATTACTATAACATATATTTTATATTATTATTATTATTATTGTGATATTTTACTGTTTTTTATGTTATTCCCTATATTAGATGTCATTGGAGAAGGCAAAGGGATTCAACCGTTTGTATTCTCGATCATCTCGCCCACTCTGCACCAAACTTTAGAGGTCGCCACACAGTCTCGTGGTGATCTAGATGACTGGGTCAACACCATCCGTATGGCGACATTCAAGGCTGGAGAGCGAGTAAGTGTTTTGATATTGTTGTCAAAATTTTTTAAAGGAAAAAATGTATAAATTTGTTTAGCTACGTATATTCCCTGGAATATCTGCTATTTGGACATACAAATATACAGATATCGTTTTATGCCATCTACAAATATAAAACATTATAACCAGAAAGAATAAATCAGAGGGGTTTAGGCCAAGATAAAACTGGTTACAAAAACAATTCTTTTTAAATCTAAATTTTATAGAGCAGGGACGCATTGAAACATGAACGGCGGTTAAGGATTGCCAAGGAGTTTTCCGATTTGATTGTATACTGCAGATCTGTGCCATTCAGGGAGGACAGTAAGTCATGTTTACACATAGTATATAAAATTAATAAATAACAACATTAACTGTTTTCAACAATATTTTGCTCTTGACTGTAAGAGCTTTTTTAATATTGGCTTGCGTATTTCTTCTGGTATATACCCACTTCTTAACCTTTGAGTAGTTTTCATGCGAAATGCTTTACCCAGTTAACTCGCACCTTGTTAAAATTATCGAAGAAATCCTTCAGAATAGGCCCCTGAGAACTAGAGTACTCATTAGGGCAGTGCCTATTTTATTTTATTTATTTTAAATCACACCCATCATGGGGTAACCTGCCACAAAGGATGTGGTAATTAGAACAAGCAGTCTTACCCAAAAGAACAATGAAGAACAGCTAACATTCAGTGGTCGTAAAAGTACTGAATAGAAATCAAGGGTTGAGCAAGATTACAAGATAGATTGCAAGATAGATTACAATTAATAATATTAACAAATAAACAAACCACAGAGAAAGCCATATGGTACATTATAGGGGTTCATGTGAGAAGACTAATTTTTTAGCCAGCTTGTAGTTCAAAGTAGATACTGATACGTTCAAGTAGGAACATTTCTGATTGTCTGCGATATTTATGTATGTCTTTGACAACACCTCGGAAAAGTATAGTTCGAAGTTTGCACAAGTTTAATTTTTTGAACCAATTTTTGTATGACAGTCATGTTAGACTTGATTAAGGTAGAGTCCAACAAGTCTAAAATAATGTCTTTGATGGCATATAGTTGATCATGTGTTTTTACCAACATTTTACATATACTACCTGAAAGGGTTATACAAACACCATTGAAATTGAAATATATACAGAAAATATTTCAGAATTTGAAGCTAAAATTTCAAAAAGATAAAAGCTTTGTTTAAAATTTTATGTCACTAAATCAGAACAACCAATATTTTTTTTTATTGATTAATTAAATTTTTAAATCTATCCCAGCTATTCCTGGTAATTACTATGAGATGTCATCATTTCCCGAGACTAAAGTGGAGCGTTTCCAGTCAACAAATAAAGCAAAGATCCTTAAACACGACCCAGTTTAGTCGAACATACCCGAAAGGTCAGCGCATTGACTCGTCCAACTATGAGCCAACATTGATGTGGAACTGTGGCTGCCAAATGGTATCACTCAACTACCAAACACCAGGTGACATAATAGGAACATTTTTTTTTTTATATCTTATCAATCTTTTTATAGGCTATTTTAATTTGTTAATATATCATCTTACCCCTGCTGTTTTGTATTTTATAGTATGTTTATTTGGTTAGGGGGCTTAGAGGATACCCACATCTTGTGTTGGGTTCTCAACCCATGTTGTCCTCTTGGCATCACTCTGGCCATTTCCTGATTTGTAATGTTTTTGGCAAGTTACGTAATAAATAAATAGGTAAAAATAGGTAGCATGATTTATTTTGTACTTTTTAATCCTGATGTATTGAAGATACACTGAAAATACCTGTAACAATTTATTTCAATACATGAATAACTTATTTAACAGGATCGATTACTTCCAACTATATAGAGATTGAAAACATTGAAAACAATTAGTTTTCACTGATTTGCAGAGTTTTCTTTCACAAAATTCCTAAATTGATTACAAGCCAAGGCCAATGCAAAAGAATAACCTGTTGGTTTAAACTAAAAACATGTATTACATTTATCTCAAACCAGTTGAAATTGTTTACACATTCATTATTTATTCTAAAAAAAACTATTGATCACACAAAGTTCCAATAAAGAATGCACAAATGGGGGGAAAACAAAAAGAAAAAGTATAATAATGTATTCTATCTATGCACGTGGCTTTGTCTCATTTCAACTTGATACTGGCACACTCCCCAGGCGGGGAAAAATTTGCCAGGGTGAGGGTGAAGTTTCCAGCAGGTACCAGCAGTTGGCCATTTTGTTCTATAATGATTCTGATGATCACCAGATTAAAGGGGTGACTTGGCGTCATTCAACACCCCTACAAACCTAATCACCAGTCCCCTGTTTTAGACTCTAACATTAAGTTTCTTTACCATATAATCCATATTACTATTTAATGAATTATTTTGAATTATTTCAGACCGCCCAATGCAGCTGAATGAAGGGTTGTTCAGGATGAATGGACGATGTGGCTATGTCTTGCAGCCTAATTGTATGAGAACTGAAAACTACGACCCAATGGACAGGAAGACACTAGTAGGCGTTGATGCTATTCATTTGACTGTTGATGTAAGTATTGGAAACTTGCTCAACATTTTTTTTTGCATGCAATTTATTTTATCTTACATAACCAACAAATGCAATCCAGTGAAAATGAAGGACAGAACACCTGAAATCAGATACATTACAATTATAAAGAAAAGACAATCCTAATTGCTCTACAAAATTTCTCCACTGATTTTAAGAATATCAATATATCGCACATAAACTCATAAAAGATTCCAGTAAATAAACCATCATTTTACAGCTTATAATCTGGATAATATGAAATAAGAAAATTAATTTTCTTGTTTTTATCACTGATGTTTTCTTAATTTTAAAGTGAAAAATTCCTTGCATAAGAAAATTGTCATTTTATCTCATTGCACTAATGACTGGATTACATTCATACAACAATATTTCATCAGAAGACATTTTTTTTTTTGTATTGTATTTATTTTACTGTACCATGTATAATTGCCACTTTTAACTACTCGCTTGTTGTTTAGATTATTGGAGGTAGACATTTAAGAAAGAGTGGACGTGGCCTCATAAGTCCGTTTATTGAGCTTGAGATAGTAGGAGCAGATTATGACAGCAGGAATAAGTTTAAGACAGCAACAGTCGGTAAGTTGCATTTAATTTTACCATAGTTCTTGGGACATACTGTAAGCCCACTCCCTACTTTACACCCAGCTTTACATATCGGGCTATTCTCGGGCGAAAGCCCAGGTTATAATCTGAAATAAGTAGCTTAGCTGACGTTTACAAATATTTTTTGTCTCTGAATTAGGCATGCAGTGCTAAAAGAGGATTTAGGGTTTACTGGGTACCCATCCCCCTCCCCTCCCCTAAAAAAAAAAAATCAGGCTGTTTTTGTGTTTAAGGTGGGTGAGCTGTACTATGGTACATATTTTGTTGGTAAGGTTATGTGTGTTTTTCTTATATCTAAATAGATACACTGTTTGATTGTCGTAGGAATAAATAAAAATAGATTCTAAAATATTACATATAAATAAGGTGGTTGTTGATAGAATCTCTTGCAAGTTTGACTGTTTGCTATTTGAATAAATAATCAGCATTCTCTCGACCTTTATAGAATATTAATTATATAATAATTAATATTGTTTTGTCTTATCGTATGAATGACTGCATCTGTTGATCAGAGTATGTATTTTAATTTTTCAGTGGATAATGGTTTCAACCCAGTCTTTAAAGAGTCGTGCGAGTTTGACATTTTGAATCCTGAAATTGCATTCATTCGCTTTGTGGTTCAGGATGAGGATATGTTTGGTGACCCAAACTTCATAGGCCAAGCAACATTTCCACTAAGGGCAATTAGAACAGGTAAAAAAATACTTGTTACTTTACAAGACAGGAATAAAGTATGGGATAAGCCTTCTATGAAATGTGAAAAGGCATATAGGGAGTGGTGTTGTCTTAAAATGTAGCAATAGGTGTATCCCATAATGCTAACCTGTGAAATAAACACAGTTCGCTTTCAATGTTTTTCGGGTTCTTTCAAACCCATGTTCCCATGTTTTCTGAATTTGTTCGGCATTTTGATGTTTTCCATGCTGATTGGCAGTTTGCCACCATATTGTTGCTTTTAAAAAATAAAAAAAATGTTTAAAATTGGAATAATTTCAAGATTTAAGAATTTTAATATATTCAGGAAGAGGTATCATTAAAACAAACTGCATGCAGTACATGTTAAAACAGAAGAACGATAACCAAGAATTAATAACAAAAAACAAAAAAATAAATCACTGTTTTATGTTGTTACTGAAATTCTGGCTGGTCATACATTCTATCATGGCCAATCTTACACTCAACTCCAAGGATATATTTTTATTGTTATTTATATAGCGCCTATTCCTTTGGGTTGGAAAGTGCTTTGTTTTCCCTAGTCATTGGTCCACATGTTGCTGCCAATGATACAAGAAATATAAGATATTTCTCATGTTATATTACATTTTATTTAATCATTTTGTTTTAATTCTCTTTACTAGGGTACCGATCAGTTCCACTGATGAATGGGTATAGTGAACCTCTTGAACTCTCATCGCTTCTTGTTAGGATTGACATCAGGGTAATTGGGGTAAGGGAACAATGATTCACTTTTAATAATAATAGTAATAATAATAATAATAATAATAATATTAATAATAATGTATTTTATTTATATTGGGCCTCTTGCAATAAAAGTTTTTCAGTGGCGGATCAGAAAGAAATCATTAAATTATATGCCAAAACTAAAGTCAATACACATTTTAAAATTAAAATGGTTAAAATTCATAGAAGATACACATTTACAATTTTCCATTAAAATTTGTCAATAAAAAAATACTCAGAACACATACAGACACTTCACGTGCATTTTATCACAACACTAAAAGTTAAAAAAAAACAAAAACAAAAACAATATTCTGAATGTCTACATATGCAACTGAGCAGACCCCTGTTATTGATTAAGGGCTTGTGTAAATATAAATGTTTTAAGTTTGATTTTAAAGGAATGTATGGATGTTTCAGTGTTAATTATAAGGAGTAAGTTATTCCATAGCTTTGACAAATGCCCGATCACCTAGAGTTGACAGCATTCTTCTTTTGGGATACTCTAATTTGATTTGAGATTTAAGGTTATGCACCTGTCGTTCCCTAATCGTTATGAGGTCGGTCATTATTCAGGAGGTGGGCATGGAACCTACTTACCAACACGCTTTGAACCAATAGAAGGGCGTACATGGGGAATTTTAAAAAGAAACAATAGTAATGATGAAAACATGTATAAATCTTCCTATTATTTTATTATTCTTGAATTATTCTATAGATAGCAAATTTCTGTTTTGTAAATTAAGAAAGAGTACTTACAAGAAACGGGGTGCTTATTAATAAAGAGAATACATATTCTCTCCTTGAAATTTTTGGTCACAGTTTCCAAACAAAATCTGTCTTTTGAAATTGACCAATGTGCTTAGTGTGATATTTTGTATGTGCTTTAAAATGCACCTGGAAGACTGACACCATTTTTGGAATTGTGTAATTTATTTATTCAGTCATCATTATCATCTATGTGAGATAACGGTATTTGTAAAACTGGTAAGAACCAATTCATCTCGATTGCTGCAATAAGTAAAAACTTATTTAAAAAAATATTTTGCAACCATTCATCTGTTTCACATTAAATCATATGTTTAAGTTAATTTTGTTTCAGTCATTCTTTTTTTTCAGTAGTATAATTTCTTTTTTTTTTTTTTGTTTTAATCTATTTGAATTTCTTTTTTTTTTTTTTTGTTTTAATCTATTTGTTGATAGCATTAATTCCCTAGAACACATTTTATTGGTTTCAATCTATTTGTTGATAGCATTAATTCCCCAGAACACATTTTTTAATACAGTTTTGGGAAATTTTTCATTAATCTCTTGTCGAAATTTAATTATTATCATTGAATGCTAATTTATCCAAAAAAACAAAAAAAAACAAAGTGCAAATAGGCCAACATATTTTTTCCAGTAAATGTTTAAAATTATTTCTATTATTAATTCTTCTAGAAATAGCATGTCATATCTGTAGAATAATAGGTAAAATTTGAAAGCATAACTTTTGCATATGCCTCCATTTCCTTGGTACAGTAGAGGGTCCAGACTCTGAGAATAGGATCACTTTAGGTCTGTAATTTAGGGTAAAATTGCATGATAGGGAGAGATACAGCTACTAGATTTTGTTTTTTACTTTACTGATACTGGTTCAGGCATTTATAATGCACCTCTTCCTTGCGGTTATAAAGCGCAGTTCTTTTCCCTGGTCATTGAGTCCACATGCTAAGTGTTGCTGCTGGTAATCAGCGCAGGAGCAGGCAACCCCACCAGGTACCCATTTATACTCATGGGTGGTGAGAAGCAATGTAGATAAAGTGCCTTGCTCAAGGACACAAGTAAATTGCACAGCGAGGGATTGGAAGTCCGACCTCGAGGTTGGGAAACCAAACCGTTCCCGCTGTGTCAAACCGCTTTCACATGGTCTTGACCAGTGAACACAACAGTGCTAAACACACTTGTGTTATACCATCATTTTTGTTTAGAAATTGGTAAATGGGAAAAATTTACCCCTTTATATACTTCTTCATTAGCCCAGGCAGGCTACTCTGACTTTAGACAGCGCAAATATTAAAAATTAGATTGAGCACTGCAGACATGACAAATTTAACAATGAAATATCATTGTTGAGATAATTTACATTTTTAATTTTTTTATACATTCTCTGCATCATTGTTGCCTTCTTTAATTTATTTCTTGAAATCACATATAAATGTTCAGAATACTGTAGTTTACTTGACTTAAAATTTAAAACTGGTGTAACAATATTCACTGCCATTTTTAAATGACAAGGAACATTTTTCTCTTATTTTCAGGTGAATGCTAATGTTATACTAAATCCTACACATTAATTTTTTTTTTCTTTAATTTTTTCAAATTAAAATTAGGTTTAAATTACTGGCAATTGAGCAGTGTGATTCCATTATTGGCTATTGAAAAAAATGTATATTTGTATCTCTAAAAAAAAAAACCAATATAGGCCTATTCAAAGAAACTTGTATGTAAAATAATACACTCATTGATTAGGCAATATGTATTTGAATTCATGATTTTTATTTCATTAGGCAAGTGATGAAGGTGCTATATATGATTCAATTTCCGTTCTCCGTGAGCGAACACAAATATTGCAAAGAAATGTGAGTGAACTGTCGTCTGAAGATGCTCAATATAATATGCGATGTATGGAACTGAGTCGATGCCAAGATAAGCTATTTGAATTGCAAGAGATGAGAAGGTACGAGTTTAACTTTCAATCAATAAACAACATTACTTCTGGTCACTGGATCATAATTAGCAAAACATAACAATAGGCAACCTAGGAATTATTTCTATCATTATACTGTAATGTAATATATTACACACAGACCAATGTGTTACAACATTCTACCAGTTACTGATTTATATTTCTGGGCCAGAAGTAGATAAAGTGCCTTGGCCAATGTACTTTATGGCCAGTGGTGGCTTATGGTGTGCAAGATGTACAAGTTGAATTGGTCTTTGCACATGAACCTAAGACAGACCAAGCTAACAGCGCACTATATAAAAAGATAGTGCACTGCTGGGGATGGGCAAATAACATTGGGAGTTGCAGTGATGACGTCACGATTGACTTATAAGAGTGATTGGCAATCAAAATAACTTTATTTGGATATGAAAGTTGATGTTTTTGATCTAATGACCGTGTCATGGCGTCAGACAATGGGAGTAGGGGGTCCAGGCCTGTCCATCATGGTGATGGTGGAATTTTCTCCCTTTGACCCCTTGCTGTTGCTGCCACTGTTTATGGGATTTGAACACTTGAACATCCAGCTAAGATCAGAGTCACAAACACTGTATTAACAACTGGCACATACAGTAGCAGTAGTAATGTAGAAGTAATAGTATGGTATCAATCAGTTTTGCTTGTTATATCCCATTCTAGCTAAAAAAAGAATAATTTCCTCTCTTTTTCTTCTAGAAAGCAACAAATTAAGAAGATACCAAGTAGTACCCCGCCATCATGGATGAGATAGATAGATAAGGTGTGATATGCTGATTCAGAGGACATGTTTATTACTTACGAGATCTTTTTCATAACACAAATCGCTCATTGTAAACTATGCTGATGATTTACCCACCCGAGTGGTTACTCGCAAAGCATTTGTGCAAGTGTCTCAAGAATGGAAAAGATTTTATATTTTTGACTAAAAAGAGGGTACAAAGGAATTATGGAAGATGATTGATTGGTAGATCATTTGATTAATAATTGATGGATGGATTTAACAAAATTTGATGTAATTGGAGGAGAAAATTATGCGAGGACTTGAGAAAATAAAAAATCAATCAAACCAGATAAAATACTGAATTTTATAGCATTCATATCTGTATTGTAATTGCAGGAGATTTTTTGTGAGATGAATCACACCAGTTTTACACATATCAGAAATCAAAATGCAATAACAGCTCTTGTATTCTCTTTATTGTATTTAATCAGAGAATTTACACAGGCTAGCTATAATTTTAAAAATCATTCTCTAAGTATTGAATGTTGAATTTATTAATTTAATTCCATTAAAGCATGTTGCTACTCTTCATTTTAGACTGATGACAATTTTTACAAAATAAAAACAGAGTGTGTAGTGTAGGACAATCTAACAATGTTTCCCTTTTTTTACTGGTTTCTTGTTTGAAGTGATTCAAGAACCATAATATAAAATAATTTAATAGGTCAATAATTGTTTTTTAATTGCTCGAAACCTAATACTAATGAAATTCTTTGTACCAAAGAAATTAGTTTAAACTTTACTTAACAGAACAACTTGCTTAAACGTGTGACCCAAAAGGTAGTTGTTTAGTCTTCAGATTTTCTAATTCTGCAAGTTATTTATAATTTTTTTTTTTAAGATCAAATTATTTTTTTAAAGAGAGTTAATACAAATTAATTATATGAAAGACATATTATATAACTCATTTAATAGAAATAGCATTGAAAACAGCATTTTGAGTTGAATTAAGGATAAATATAATTGTATGGATGAAGATGTAAAGACTGTCACATTGAGGGTAATATAAATTATAAAGTATTTTAAATCAGGACCTCATGGTGACCCCACTTACTGGTATACATATCAATATTTCCAGGGAATAGGAAAGAGATTGATTAAGGGAAGTAAATTACAAAGGATGGGAATAATAGGCATGGAGAAAGATGTGCAAGGGAATGATGTTGCCTTTAAAACCTAATCAGGGGTTCTCAACTGGCACCCTGCAAGTGCATGTTATCCGGCCAGTAGAACTAGCCTAAAATGATATTTTTTGTTGAGCTTAGGCCTAGATTTCAAACCTTAATAATTATGCATTCTCATTTTGATGACTAGGCCTGTTTTGTCCTAAATAATTGTAACTATTGTGTATTAGTAATTCAATTACATCAGATGAAATACTGCAGCAAATATTAAGATAGATTGAAACATGTTCAGGCTCAACCTGAGACAGCTATTTGCCATAGGTTAAGTACAATAGCTCAGAATTAGGCCTACCCAGTATAATTGGTTCAGTATGCTTCAGCAGCTCTCTAAATCCCCTTTCCTCTCTGTATAGTAATAATAATAGTTGTTGACTTATATAGCACATATTGTAGAGACCTCTATGCGCTTAGCATACTACCAGTCATTGGATCAAGCACATATGGAACACATACTCAGGTCCCTTGGGAGAATTACATAATGTTGCAGCTGTAATCAGTGCATTTTGTGTTGGAACCTATTTGGTACCCACTTGTACTCCTGAGTGGATAGAGAGAACCATAGGTGAAGTTCCTTGCCTAAGGACGCAAGCGAAATACACAGCGAGGGATTGAACCTCCGACCTCATGGTTGAGATGCAGAACCCAGGGCTCGATTTAGTACTAGCCCGGCGTACAATGTCTAGTAAAAACCGCTCCGGGCTAGCCTATTTACTCCTCATGTTGCCCGGTTGTCTAGTGGAGAATTAGCAAGAAAAAAAATGTCATTAAAAAACGGAACTTTCGAAACAATCCCTGCACAGGAGGTACCGCAGCCCAGAGAGTACACTCTAGCTAGCTTTCAGCTGTCCACATGCGTGAGTGTTTAATTATTAAGATGATCCCCAAGTCATTCACCAACCAACCACTTTGTGGATGGCATGTTATCTTTCTCTATAGAAGATCGTTTGATCGTTCAATCTGGTTAATTTAGGTAGTTAGAACATTTAATTTAATGTACTACCTTATATTCATATTATTTTCTCATAATGATATTTTTAAAATGTTCCAACTTTTAATAATTAAGTACTTCAAGGCTATAGATAGGTAGGCTAGGCTAGCCTAGGCCCTAGGTCTTGTCTAGGCCTGGGTAGCCTAGCCTAGCCTAGCCTAGCCTGGCCTAAGCAAGATTTATTGCCATTGGGGGCGAGTGACTTGAGACCTAAAATTTAACAGGTGCATTGTTTTGATTGATTTCTGGGCCCTTTGTTAAATATTAGAAAGCCAAAGTTATAACCAGGGAGATGTAAAACATGCTCATCTGTCCTGTCCCTGTTATAACCAGAGTCGATTTTGCAGCATGGGTGATTTTTTTAAAATTTATTTATTCAATAATATTTTGAGAGGGTAGCTCAAACAGCAATGCTACAGAAATTGAAAATCAACCTTCAAATTTAATTGTCGCTAATAAATATTGTGAAACAAAATTTTTTCCTGTCTGTGGGCTAGTAAAATATTCTGTGGGCTAGTAAAATCTCTAGTAAATTAGCCCAGTGGGCTAGTTACCAAAAAAAGTTAGGGCAAGCCCTGAGAACCGCAACCGCTGTGCCAAACCGCTCCTACAATGTATGCTTCAGTAGCCCCCTGAATTTTCCTTTCCTCTCTGTGTGCTTATAAGGTGAAAATATAAAATCAAAGCCTCAGTGAATTGGATTCTACCTTTGGGTCAGTAATATGCCAGAAATTGGAAGAAAAATCTGTGCAAGTTTTTTAAATTTGTGGCTCACATCATTGATATACTCAAGTACATTTTACACATGAATAGTTTAGATCTTAAAAGCAGAATTGCAGCTGTATTATCCTCATTCCATTAAAAGTTGTGAAAGGATAAAGTCGTCATTTGTTGTTGCCTTTTTCTGGACAAAATTTAATTAACAATGTTTCAAATAATATTCCTGCATATTCAAAATAGATTCTGTCTGAAATTGACTCAGAATATTGAGACAAATGTATAATATTGATCAAAATAGAAGCAAATATACTTGTAGAGAGAATGCCACATTTTTTTTAAAAGATTGATAACTTGCGCTTACCTCATGTTTGAACATATATGATTAATTATGCAATGATGTGATTATTTTTAATAACTTATTTTCTTTCAAATCAGTAATTTTGTAATTTTCATGATTTCAGTGATAGATATTTTACTATTAACTTATTTTCATTGTAATTAGCAATTTTGTAATTTTAGTTCATGATTTCAGTAATATATATTACTATCAATATTTACTGGAGTTAAAAGTGTGTAAAATTCATGCAAGCCTTCTCTTAGCAACATATAATAAATATTTCAATGATGTATTGTCTCAGATCCCAAGGCAAAGTATTTAAAATATAGGGGATTAAACACCTTGCTTTTGGTATAAAATCTACAGGAAGATGGGCTGTAAACAGAAAAGATTCTGCTGTCTAATAACTACATTCCCTGCTGCACAAACTTTTTTTTTTTTTTTTTGCTTTTAATGTAACACAATCAGTGGTGTAACAAAAAGGCCTGAGGTCTCTGTTGAAGGTTTCTTATGGCTTCTTTACCCTCTGGACTGGCAGCCATGTAGGACCCCAGAAGGTCCCATGCTTTGGCATTTGAATGTTTTAGGGGCATATTTTGATGGAGCTGTTTCCATGCTCTGCTCATGAAGGCGCTCGGCCCTTGGTTGAACATTGAGAGCTCCGAGTTATACCACTGAACATATCCCTTTGACATGTTATTGGCAAAGACATTTGATGTACCAATCAAAGTGGCTAAAGGTTACTTAATGCCATTTTAGTGCCATCCGTCTAATGTAGTACACGTTTGTATTGAATTGACTTATTGCCAACTTTTTATTCTCAAATTCTCAATTCAGTACAGTACTTCAAAAATTGTGGATTTACTTTTCAGTGAATAATTAAAAGAAAATGGTTTCCAAATATATTTAGGTGCTGGATCAGAACTAAAGAATATATTCCTTTTTGAATTTGAATTAAATAGATCTGTGAGATAATGCCAGGTAGTGCTGTCCGATGTGGGTGCAGCGTACTGTTCATGATGGTGGATTTTCTTCTTTTTTTTGCATGCATTTAGGAATAATATTGAGTGATCAGGTCATTTTAGTTAACATCCGCCATACAGTTTAGTATAAATAAAAACAATTTTATTTTGTGAAAAGTTGTAATATTAGTGAGAAATGTATGTAGCAACTTGTTACAATTCCAAGTTGCTGTGTTTTTATATTATGCATAATTCAATTAAAAATGTTAGAATTTTTTCAAAATAAGATAGAAACTTGCAGAGTGAATAATAAACAAATCATGGAAATTTACTTGTATATCGCCTTAAACAATTAAAAATTCGTCTCAAAGCGTATTGTAATTAAAGTTTAAATTTAACATATCTTGTAAGAATTTTGGGGAAATATCCACTTTTGTTTGAAAAGAAAAGAAATAATGCTTTTATGTAATTCTGTTGTAAAAAACGGAAATGACTTGTATCACCAACTACATGTATTGCAATGTATTTTTAATGTGCCCAATTTTTTTAAACTAAGGCACTGCATTATCTTGTGGCCATGAAAGAGTAATTATAATATTGAAGTATGCATAAGTACAGAAATGTATGACACATTGAAGCAGATGATATGAAATTATAGTTGTGAGGTGATGTTTTGTGATAACAGGATCACAACATAGCCTTTAGTAGATAATTGTAAGTACATCAAAAATGAATAAAATCATTATTTGTATATTCTGTTTTTGTTTTTTCTTTCTGGCTTGGGTGTTCAGTAAAACAGCAGTCCAAAAAATGTTTGTCAAAAATCATTAAACCACATTCACTCTTCTCGATCATGACCATAGTGTACCACAGTAATC